TTGCCCGCCGCAGGACTCGAACCTGAAGCTCCTCCCCACCCTTGGGCAGGAGGTGTGTTACCTTTACACCAAACGGACCGTGTTGTCAAGTAGAAGAAGATAACTTGTACTTAAAGGTGCGGGTGATCTGTTTTCTGTGGTCCGGAGGAAAAAGGATAAGAATGAGGCCAGCGCCAGGTGTCAGACCTGGAGCTCCTCTGGGCCTTGCTGGCAAAGTCGTACCCAAGAGGTGTGTTTCCATTACACCACGCTGGCTTTGTTGTCAAGTAGAGCACCATGAGTTGTGCTCTACTTGGATGGCAGGCTGTATGCTGTGTTCCCGGAAAAAAAAAAGATAAGAATAATGCCAGTGCGAGGATTCGAACCTGTAGCTCCTCCTGCCCTCGCGGGCTAGGAGGCGTGTTACCAATTACACCAAACTGGCTGAGTAGCCCAGGGTGATGCGATTTGCGTAAGATAACAGTAGTTGGCGAGCAGTATTCGGTGATCCAGAGAAAAAGATAATAGTACCAGCTCCAGGACTCGAACCCGTAGCTCCCCTCTCGCCCTTACGGCAAGGTCGTGCCCAAGAGGTGTGTTGCCAGTCACACCACACTGGCTGTGTTGATGAAACACACGCTAATTCGGGGTTTTCTTTTCGAGTTTGTTTCGATCTGCCTGGTTCAATGGAGGGACAAAGAACAGGGTCTGCGAAGGGCCTGGGGCATCCACGGAGGATGAGGGGTAAGGACGGATCATTGTATGGTGAAGTGATATAGGGAGCCCTAACGTAGCACGACCAAGAACGCAGGGTCGAGTATGATAATGACACCGATGATATGTAAAGCGAGCCTTGCGTTAGTAAAAGAGAATATCGATTGCTCTTTTGACATCATATCAAGAGGCCGTATGGTGCTGGACACGTGATGTCGGGGATGGGGAGGGCATGGTGGTGGAGAGCAGCATCATTTTAGGAATCATTTGTAAAAAGCTTTCTTGTCGGGAGGGAGATCCCGCCCATAAGTATATCGCCAGGGCGGTAACACACAACGCAGAATTTTTGTTCCGTTGGTGGAACAATATAAATCCGTTCACGCCAGCCTGAGGCAATGACAGGCGGTGGCACGTGCGCATGCGGAAGTGGACACCTCAGGTAGACCTCTTAGACTTCTCCATAACCGCCAACTCTGTTCCCAAGTCAACCATCTAAACCAACCGAATTCAAGCATCGAGCCCCACTAACCGCCAAGTACTCCAACCTCGAGCTCAAGCTCCCCCCCATGTCCATCCTCTGACCATCGCTCTTTGGTGGGGAGGCCCTATCCACCTCTCTTTCTTCTCCATAAATGGAACCCCCGTCACTGGCTGCCACTCGAGCCCAACTTCTTTACAATTGGTGGTTTACTCTGTGGTCCAGTTGACAACTTTCCAAGGAGTAGCCTGGCCCCTTCAGTAACGACGGAGGTACTTCAGTTACCTATTGCTATCAGTGGTCTTCCGGGTTCCAGCCGTCCCACTCCCTCCGTTCATCCTCCCCCGATTCTCCGACCCGTCAGACCCGCTGTTACCGCCCAGCAAGCTCACCAACCATCTATCAGTTCGCCTCTCATCCCAAGGAGCAGGATCTCCTGTTTTGTTCTTTCTTGCCTATTTAGCCTTGCATCCATCTAGAAAACATCATAAAACCAAGAGAACATACGGGTGATGCTCTAGGTCTTCCCATAAGGCCTATATACCAATGGGCACCCCTTACACGATATCCAGTAATAACATGGCGGGTCCTAGCGATGTTTTTGCTGACTCCAGAGTTGCCTCCGACTTGGGCGCATCATCGGACGATGATGATTTCGTCTCGAGCGCCAGTACCGCATCTGCGGGGTCGGACACGCGGCCACTTGGGAAGGACCGAGAGGCCACTGTGGTGTTGTTGAATAACCACCAGCCGACCGCTTTGTCGACGGAATCGCCATCAGATGGAGCGGGTCAGGATAATGGGAATGAATGCGTGGTGACTCCAGGGGTGAAGGAGGAGGTCCGTACGCCTGTGGAGATCCAACACTTGTCCACCCCGCCCAAACGACCACTGCATCTGCTGGATCTACCGATGGACATCTTGCAGGTGATTATGAAGGAGGTGTGTATACATACTCCCTGCCGCGTGCTCCCTGTCGGATGTAATTCCTAACCCATGTTGCGCTCGTATAGGTCACCCATACGAACGATTTGACGTCGCTGGCGCTCTCGTGCTCTACGCTCCATTCTCTCGCCGTCCCTCAGATGTACTCTCGATTCGATATAGTATGGCCCGACACCTTGTCATCCTCCGATCATCCTGCTGGGGTTGACGCCCTGTCTTATGGTCTCGCAACGCTAGTCATGGGGGAGGACGTTTTTCCTGAACTGCCTGCTGGACGCCGCCCAACGGATACCGCTACCCCGCATGATCGACCGCCAGCGTCACAGGAGCCCCACGGCCCCCGGAAGATACGCCGCGGAAACCACTATGCTCAGTATACACGCAAGTTTTCGGTGGGAAATGGCCCTCTACTCTGGGTTCAGGAATACTCGGTGACTAAGGAGACGGGCAAGATGCTGGGCACGCTGGTCGCTTTGGCGGTCGCACGGATGGTCAACTTGGAGACGTTCATCTGGGATATGCCGACCGGGGTTCTGAGAGACGTGTGGATCGCGCTGTCATCACTAGCGGATCGTCCAGGACACGACTGCCGCTTGGAACGGGTTTGGGTCCGGTGGCATGATAATTCTGAAAATTCAATGCGCTCTGCACAAGACGTGGCCACCACTTCGTCCTTGACTCTGCCCGCCATCCAAGTGCCGACCAACCCTCCGGCATCCGGTACCCCTCTGCAGCAGAAATACGGGCATGTAGAATACCCGACCCTCTCCATCCTGCCCCCCATGCGGAGCTTGAGTGTGCTGGACATAGACGAGCCCTCGTATCTGGAGGAAACAGCCGTTCTCATCGAGCGCTCAGTAGGAAAACTGAGGGAACTTCGCATTGGCATCTCTCCCAAGGTCTACCAGGCGGAGTGGTTGAAGGCCCCCGCGGTCTGGTCATCGAACTCACCTCCCAACCAGGGTCCAGTACCAGGTTGGCCCAAGAATGGTGGTGTTCTGGGTCTCTTGTTTGGAGTGTCCAGTGACCCCTTGGGCGATGATCCGACGAGCGGATCAGCTAAGAAGCAAGACCCTGATGTCGCTGATACTCATGGGCTTAACGCGGCAATTCCACCGGTCGAAACTTCCAACGTCGCACCCGAGATTCCGTCCTCCCAGCCCGTGAACATTGCATCAACGGAGCAAGATCCTCATAATACTGGCATACCCAATCAAGGCGAAACCTCCTCGCCACTGGCACAACTATCTCCAGCTGAAACCCCAGCTCCGACAGTCCCACCAGAGGGCTCCAAGCGATCAACCAAATCAACCAGGTCCAAAAAACGAAGGGATGATATCGTGCCTCGATTGAACCTGGAGACTCTAGAACTGGAGCGTGTCCCTTTATCAGTCTTAGCGATGCAGCATGCTCTTGATTGGACCAGGATCACGACGCTCACGATTCTCCGCTGCGAGGGTCATGAAAAGCTTTGGAGGGCCCTGCGTCGCGAGTTCACTCCGTCACCCACGCCACAATCGTCCAGATCACGAAGAAAGTCCGCTCCTGGTCATTCCACCTTACTGTACGACTTTCCGCTGAAGATCAAGCACATACACACGGACTCCGTCTCGCCGTATCTCTTGCTGTTCATCAAGGACGCCCTTGCACCGAACAGTCTCGAGACTCTCCTCCTGCACGAGGCGCCCATGTACGACTCGATCGTCGGTATCGACGCCATCTACAAAAATGTGGTTCGCAACCATCGTTTGAGTCTCCGCAAGGTATTAATCGACAGCACCGAACTATCGCCCGACGGAGGTGAGCTAGCCACCAGCCGCTGGCGGAAATGGATGTTCACCCGAGAGATGGTCTCTTTCTTCACGAGTGGGCGCATGCCCCGATTACGCGAGCTGTCCATGACCATCCACTCCAAAGACTGGGTATGCACACCCTCCCATAGACTACATAACTACCTGCTAACAACAAACCAGCACTACTTCCTCCAAAGACTGCCCAACATCCCCTACCTTCGTGCTCTCCACATCGCACACATCGCACACCCCATCCACCGCGACCCCAAAGAACTCGCCATGCAAATCCTAGACATAGTAACTATCCGCCCGGAAGTAGGAATCAGCTACGTAGGCATGCAAAGCAAGTGCTACGAGATCCTTGAAGGCAAACGCGGCGATAAAGACGACGACCTCGACGACCTAGACACCCACAGCGAGGGCTTCGTCCCCGGCGGAGACGACTGGGCTGGCTCAGACAGTATGGACGATGACTCCGACGACTCCGACGCCGCTGCCGCCGTCAGCGCCGCGGACTCGCACTCTGAGGCGTCCTCTGATGACCGGGGCTCATCTGATGGTGATGATGTGGAGTTTGGAGGTGGGATATCAAGGGTTGCGTTCCGGTTGAGGGAGATTCTGTTTTATGATGATAAGATTTCGATCTTCAAAGCGAGGCATGGGAGTTTGTGATATGGTATGATTTGATATGATAGGTATGAAATGAAATGTCTTGACCTGTTGATAGTTCTTGTTTGTTGGCGGGTCGGTGTTGGTGTAAGCGTAGGGTACTCCATGTAGACTTATATAATCGCCGATTATACCTATCTTATTGTACTTGCACATTTAGAGGACAGGGCAGGGGAATGCTCAGATGATGAGCCATCGACACTATTGATCGTACCCCAGGCCAAGTTTGAGTTAATTTGTCCGCATTTCCTGTTTCTTCTTCTCAAAAGTCATTGAATGTTCAGGGTGGCAATGAAAAAGCAGCAATAGTAGTCATTAAAGTAGCATTATATTTTTAAACAGAAATATAAAAAGATAGAGAGAGAAATGATATTAGTGAGGAAAAAATGCAAAAAGAGAAGCCCAACGCGGGGGTCGAACCCGCAACCTTGAGATTAAGAGTCTCACGCTCTGCCGATTGAGCTAGCCAGGCTAGTTCTTGAAACCCAAGAAAAACATTTAGTTTTATAAAGTAAGCAGACTGTCACAACCTAGGGCTGCCCAATTCAAGTTATAGTTAGTCTCAGCCTCGTCTTGACTTACCCCTCCTACACATTTCAGTCACACTGAAGATAAGATCACTTACAAAGCTCAAAAGTGTCATATATGAAGTGCTGATCATGGACCCCGTATCTGCCGCAGCAAGTGTCATTGGTGTCGTCCAGCTGGCAGCGACCATTGCCAAACTGTGTGGAGCATATATCGGCAAAGTCAAGGATGCGAAGCAAGATATTCTCCGCCTTAGAGATGAATTTAACGCGCTTCTAAATATACTTACCACGTTGCACGATTTTATGTCTGGGCCAGACAGCGCAGAATCCATCGTTCATGACGAGCTACTCGCAAACATCGCAAGATGCTTTACGACGCTCTCTGGGTTCGAAAAGAAGCTGGATCTGAAAACCACGCAGAGCGCTATTAGGAGGAAGCTTCACCTTCTCAAGTGGCCTCTTGAGCAGGAGGAGGTGGACAGGGTTATCGAACAAATTGAAAGGTACAAGGCAATGTTCAGTTTGTCTTTGCTTATCGACCAAATGTAGGTTGCATGGTCCAAGTCCCGTTCCCTGCATGGGGTGCAGTGAAGTAATAGATTATACTAGGAAGACTATGCGCATCCTTGACAGGAAGCTAGACTTTGGGATCTTACGCACGGCGAAAGGCGCCGCATTCGATTCGTACGACAATTTGCATAATGAGTGTCTTCCAGGAACACGAGTCGAGTTACTCGGCGAGATTGAAAGATGGGCAACATCGGAGGATGGGAAATGTATCTTCTGGCTGAACGGCATGGCAGGAACTGGAAAGTCAACAATTTCCCGCACGATTGCAAGCCGCCTAAAACGGCAGGAGCTACTCGGAGCCAGCTTCTTCTTCAAAAAGGGCGAGGAAGACCGCGGGACTGCCAAAAAACTGTTCCCAACGCTTGTGGAGCAGTTGGCTGTCGGTTTGCCAGACATGGTTCCAGGTGTCCAAGCTGCAATCAAGGACGATCCCAATATTTCGGAAAAGGTGCTCAGGGAGCAATTCGAGAAGCTTTTCCTCCATCCACTGCTTGAAATTGGCCTCGACCGGACAAAGACCGTCACAAAGGTGATCGTAATCGATGCACTAGATGAGTGCGACCAGGAAGAAAATATACGACATCTTCTCCGACTCTTGCCGCGGGTTCATCAATCAAATTCGGTGAAAATCCGATTCTTGCTGACCAGCAGACCTGAGTTACCAATCAGATTAGGATTTAGCAGCATTTCTACTGATGAGCACCAAGATCTGGTCCTACATGAAGTCCCAGAACCAGTGGTTAGGCATGATATCTCTTTGTACTTTGAGAACCAATTCATGCGACTGAGACAGGAACGCTCACTTCCACCGGACTGGCCTGGTGAAGAGGCTACCCGAGCTTTGATTGAGAAAGCTATCCCACTGTTCATTTCAGCATTTACCCTGTGTCTATATATTGGTGATGATAATTGGGTCCCGGAAAAACGACTCAGGGCAATCCTTGCTGACGAAACCACGTACCTCTCTAAAATGGATGGCATATACCAGCCAGTGCTACATCAACTCCTTACTGGCCAAGAGAAATCCGAGTCACAGCAATTGGTTCGAGAATTCAAAGAGATAATTGGTGTTATCATCCTCCTTGCTACTCCTCTCTCTGTTAATAGTCTTTCTCGACTTCTTGAAATGAGCAAAGGTGACATTAACAATCGACTACGACGCCTTCATTCAGTCTTGAACATACCAAATGATACAGCGAAGCCCGTGAGGCTTCTCCATCTATCATTCAGAGATTGGCTTCTGGATGCCACAAAAGAGAACGGTACATTCTGGATCGACGAGAAAAAAGTCCATCGAGATCTCACTATACTATGTTTACAAACTATGGAGCAGAGTTTGAGAAAGAACATCTGCAATCTCCCAGGCTATGGCACACTGCTTACCGAGATCGATGTGCAGTCTATGGATCACTATTTGCCATCAGATTTGCGTTACTCTTGCCGCTACTGGGTACACCATTTAGTCCATACTAAGGAGCCAGCCGCCGACATAGCTCGGGCCTTTGATTTCCTCGAGGTACATTTTCTTCACTGGATGGAAGTCATGAGCATTCTGGGCTTTTTATCTGAAGCTATTTCAATGCTTGCGTTATTACACTCTGTCGTACAGGTAAGCGCTTCGACAAGAAATCATTCTACAGGAATAGCACAAAACGTACTAATTTCTCAATCTAACAAGAATCCTGAGATGTCCGCCAACATGCATGATATGAGACGTTTCTTTCTTCGGAGTAGGCATATTGCTGGCGTCGCGCCGCTTCAGCTATACTCATCTAGTCTCCTTTTTTCACCAGAACTGTCTTTCGTAAGAAGAACCTTTAGCAGGGGGCTCCCAGATTGGTTTCTCAGGCCACTGAAAATCAGGCAAACCTGGACTGCAGAGATCCAGACTCTGGAAGACCACTCCGACTTGGTTAGCGCAGTGGCATTTTCACCAGATAGTAAGGTGATAGCCACTGGCTCCAGGGATTATACAATAAAGCTTTGGGATACTACCACTGGAGCCCTACAACAGACCTTAGAAGGTCATTCAAGATTGGTAATCGCTGTTGAATTTTCACCCGATGGTCAATTACTAGTGTCCGGCTCTGACGATCATATAATTAATGTCTGGGATATATCCACAGGGGCCCTGCAGCACAGTCATAATGACTATGTTAAAAGGATTATGGAAATGAGTATCTCGCCCAACGGTCATTTAATAGCATCTGGTACCAAGCATGGTACAGTCTGGCTTTGGGATGCCAATACCAGAGCTATGAGACAAACGCTCGAAAGCCATACGGATGAAATACATTCTTTATCATTCTCACCAGATGGCCAATTGTTGGCATCAGGTTCCTGCGACGAGACGATTAAGTTATGGAATACTAGTACTGGAACCTTGAAAGATACTTTGAAAGGTCATGTCGATTGGGTTCAGGCCGTTGCATTCTCACCAAACGGCACTTTACTCGCGTCGGGCTGCAGAGACGGCACCATAAATCTCTGGGGCGCCGCTACCTTATCTTTGAGGCAAATGATAGATACAAAAGGGTATCTCCAACAGACGGCAAACTATCGGGGTCACTCCGCTGCAGCGGTGGCGTTTTCACCAAATAGTCGAGTTCTAGCGTCTAGTTCTGCGGATTGTATACTTATGATTTGGGATGTTACGACCGGTGCCTTACTACAAGTTCTAGAGGGCCATATGACTAGAGCTTGGGCAGTGAGGTTCTCACAAGATGGTCAAATGCTAGCTTCAGGTTCTTATGATGGAACCGCCAAGCTCTGGGATATCAGTGCTGGGTCCTCACGGACAAACATGCAACTGACCTCACCACCAGCAGCAGAGATTACAGCAGTGACAAGAACAGCACAACTGAATGCACAAGAGGAAACAGAAATTCCAACAGGCCACTTTGGCAGAATTGACACAATGAAATTCTCACCAAATGGCCAAGTACTGGTAACCGGTTCTATTGATTGCATGGCCAAAATTTGGGATGTCACTACTGGAGCTTTGCTGAGGACTTTACGAGGCCATCAAGGTTGGGTCCAGGACATTGCATTCTTACCCAACGGCCAATTACTAGCGACCGGTTCTCTTGATTGCACGGTCAAACTTTGGAGTGTCTCTACGGGAGCTTTGCTGAGGACATTGCGAGGTCATCAAGGCGGGCTCAGGTACACTTTGTTTTCACCAAATGGCCAATTATTGGCAACTAGCGCAAGAGACAATGTTATTAAACTCTGGGACGTTACAGGAAATCTCAGACATACACTTCACGTCCTTTGGCACGATGTTGTGGCCATGAACTTTTCGCCTGATAGCAGACTGCTAGCATGCGCAACTATCGACCGGACAGTCCAGATCTGGGACACTGCTTCTGGAATTCTGAACCAACATCTCAAAGTACAAGAAATGGTTACTGAATTAAACTTTTCGCCCCACGACGCGTGTCTGGAAACCAACCTAGGCAGTCTCAATATTCAGTCTCAGTATGAGAATGATCATCCTGGTACAGCTCTTGCCAAGGACAAGAGAATATCACTAGAAGAGAACTGGGTGGTTCTTGATGGCGTTAAGCTTCTATGGCTGCCTTTGGAGTATCGGCCATATCGCTGGGCCGCTTCTGGCTGCACCGTCGCGCTTGGGTATGGCTCTGGGGCGGTCTCTTTTATGGAGTTCCGCCCAGGCTTGCAGCCGTTGTCTGCACCGACTGCCGACCTGTCAAGTGAACCATTATCGGATAGCGCGTAGACTCGGAGTTCAGTGAAGAATAGCTTATTGAGGGTTGCTGGTGGACTCGATAGGGTAGCTTCTATAGCTTTGTTCGGAATATTCATAGATGAAGATGACAAGGACTAGTCGCTTATATGATGCAGATCACGTGCCCGCTCCAGCCTCTGCCCCATCACGGCCGACGCCAATCCAAGCTCAACCGCCGCTCTGCAGAACATCTCCGGGAGCTCTTACCACCACTCCTGATTAATATCCCTTTTCCCCGAAAGTCCTCAGTGCGCGTAGTGCGTACAATCTGCCACGATGAAGCTCGTTCGGTGAGTCCCAACCATATGACGGGGGGAGAAAGAGAAAGAAGGAGGGAAGAAAACGTGGTGTCCGCATGGCGAGAACTGTTGACAGTTCTGGACTTGATGGACGGACGCACAGAATGTATAAAAAGAGATTATCTAACAGCTTAATCTAGATTCCTCATGAAATGCGCCAACGAGACGGTGACGATCGAGTTGAAGAATGGTTGGTCTTCTCTCCCTCCCTCACTTCCTTTCCTTTCCTTTCCTTCCTTACCCTCCCCAATCCCCCCCAAACTCCATCATAATACTGATCATAAAACAAAAGGAACAATCCTGCACGGCACCATCACTACCGTCTCCCCCCAAATGAACACCTCCCTCCGCACCGTCAAAATGACCCAAAAAGGCCGCGACCCCATCTCCCTCGACACCATCAACGTGCGCGGCTCCACAATCCGCTACTACATCCTGCCCGACAGCCTGCCGCTCGATACGCTGCTCGTCGATGATCAGCCCAAGCCGAAGAACAAGGCGCGTAAGGAGGCGGACCGCGGTGGTGCGCGTGGTGGGCCTCGGGGTGGGCCGCGTGGCCGTGGGAGGGGTCGGGGACGGGGGCGCGGTCGGGGTTTCTAGACTTTTTTTTTCTCTCGATGAGTCTTTCGCTGTTTCGATCTTTCGATCTTCCCATTCGCCGCTTTTGTTTGGTTGGTTGATTGAATGGGCTGAATGGATTTGATTGGATGGTGGTGGTGGTGGACGGATGGACAATCCTGAGTCGGGTTACATGTGGATGAATGATGGACGGTGGAAACGGTCGATAAAATCCCCTTGGACCTACCTCACGGGCTCTTCTTTTTTCTTATCTCTTTTCTTATTGTGTTCTTCTCGTTCTACCATATGGTTCTGGAGTTGAGTGTCTATTATTTCATACTATTCTATTTACCATTGTGATCAGTGTTCCCTTATGTGTCTGTATGTCGCTTATTCAAGCTTGGGTGGTATCTACAAATTACACCGACAGGTAGGTGTACAGTAGTCAAGATAGTATCACATCGACATCAGGAATAGTATATACCTACCTACCTACGTGGATACATAGGTAGCTAAACAAACAAGAACACAATGTAATTCCAGACAACCAGTCCTTGTCAATCTATCTATCTATCTATCATATCATACAGAAATACAGAAAGAATCAATCAATCAATCAATCCATTGAAACAGACCCCAGCACCTAACCCTAAACAACAATGAAACGATAGAAAGACAACACAATGTAAAGATCACGCTAATCTGCAGAATCAAATAACAATGACAATGACATGGGAAGAACAAAACAAATAGGGGAATCAAAATCAAACAATCTGTTTGTCCCTCATACGTTGGAAAATGGGAAGATAAGGGGGAAACAAATAGAGAAAAGAAAAGGAAACAGAATAACATAAACCGACACCATTCCGTAACCGCACCGCCACCGTACACAAATCAAGTAAATGCAGATAATGCGGATAGTACAGTGGGGAGAAAAAAAAATCGAAAGGGGAATAACAGAGATACGGAGACAAGATAACACGAAGAAAGAAAACTACCGCCATCGCGGCCGGTCGTCAACCTTGCTGCGATTCCCCGTCGCGCTGTCCCTTCCGGACCGGCCTTTGGGCATCGGGAGGAGACTGATGCGGCGGCTTCCTGAGTGGCCCAGGGCGGTTTCCGGACGGGCGGCCTTTGTCGGGCTGAGGAGGCCGTTGTCCGGGGCGTGGGACACGCTGCGGCCGAAGGATAGGCCGGCGTAGCTTTGGCGGTTGCGGGGGGTGTTCACCATGGCCTCTGGTCCTAGGGGTCGGCGGAGTTTGCTGTAGGGGGGCGGGTCGAGGAGGGAGCGGGATGGGGTGGGAGAGGCGCCTGGCGCGGGGCTGTGCGAGCCTAGCCGGCTAGATATGCGGCTGCGGGTCCGCGGGGGAGCTGGGGATACGGATAGGTCGCGACTGTGGGAGAAGGGGAGGGTGGAGGCGGGGCGGGAGAGGCGGTTGTTGCGGGATGGGAGGGGGCTGGGGGCCTGTAGGCGGGAGTGGCCTACGTCGAGGTCGTTGGTGTTCACGCTGCTACTCCATCGCGGGCGGTTCGCGAGCGCTGCTGGGATGGGCGGAGGGGCTCGTCGGGCGAACGGGGTGGGCGTCGTGGCGCGGTAGCTGTGTTTGGACGGCGAGGTGGCTGAGAAGGAGGGCTTGGATGGGGATGCGGTGAAGGAGGGCTTGGGAATGGCTGATTTCTTCCCCGTCAGGGTCGCCGTGGCTTGAGGGATCCCCGAAAAGCGGCGGACCTTGTTCATGGTGGACCGGGCAGCTGAGCTAACGGAGCTCCCGCGCCGGCTGGATCCGCCCAGGGGCGTAGTCGACCCCTTCATGGCTGGGGTCATGACTACCGACGAGGCGGGGGAGCTACCGGGCGAGTCGATGCCGCTGCCTGTGGTGGGACTGTCCGTGGTGACGATGGTTGAGATCGAGTCGCGCATGTGCTGGCTGCGGGAGAGGCTGACATCCTCCAGCGAGGCGTCCATCACCCGCATGCTCGCCTTGAGCGCGTCGATGCGGGACGTCATGTCGGAGAGCAGCCGGATCGTCTCACCGTTGACGGTGCGCCGATCCTGGACCCCTTTCTCGATGATGGTGAGCACCCGCTCGATCGCCGGCACGTAGTGCTGCCTCTTGGCCTCGTAGCTCTCGATCTTCTTGACCAAGTCGGCGGGGTTGTGCAGATGGCCGCCGGTCTCGAGGCCTTCCTGCAGCTTGCCGATGCTGCGCTCGACGGATTCGAACATCTTCTGCGCCTGTCCGCCGGCCCCGCGGAAGACCAGAATCCACCGGTCCTCGCTCAGCTCGCGCCGCAGGGACTCGGCGTCGGCCTCCAGCGCCCGATAACTCTTCTCGAGCCGGCTGCGTCGCTCCTCCAGCTCCTCGCAGGCGCTGGGGAAGATCGACTCGGCCCGGGACTGGAACATGGACATGCGCATGGGCAGGAAATCCAGCGAGGCGCGCAAGGGCTGGATGCGGGCGAATAGGGCGATCAGGTTCGAGTGATTCGTGTCGTCGTGGGGCGTTTGGATGATGGGGGTGGCTAGCGTCGGAGGCGCCGCGAGGATGGGTTCCATGCTGAGTCGCTTGCTCGACGCCGACGGGGTCTCCTCGACGATGGTCTCGAGCTCGTTGATATCGACCCCCGAGTGGGACTCGGGCGCGGTCGACATGGTCATGTGCCGTTTCTCCTCCATCTCAAAGACGAGTCGGCCCAGGTCGTCGACCTCGGCGCCGACGTCGCCCAGGACGCTGTTCCACAGCTCCTCCCACTCCATGGCCAACTCGACTTGCTCCTTGACGGCGCGGAGTCGCCGCTTGATCTGCGCCCAGTTCTGGATGACCGAATCCATCTGGACGACGATGATGTTCAGGCTCTCGGGGCCGACTTCGTTGATATCGTCGCGCAGCTGGACCTCCTCGATGGCCTTGACGTAGACATTCACTAGGCTCTCGAAGCGCGTGATGGCCTTGTCGACGCTCTCCAGGCCCTCGCGCCCGCCTGCAGCGGCCCACTCGACGTCATCCTCGGCGTCCAGGCCGCCGAGCACGTCGGAGGCCTTTCCGATCCAGATCTTGATCTGTTCCGCGGCGGACGTGAGGGCCTTGACGGCGGACGGGGCGGTGGCGATGCCGGCGATGGTGGATTCGAGCGAGGAGGGCTGTGGCAGACTGACGGAGGTGAGTTGGGAGATCTGGTTGCTGAAGGAGGAGCGGCCGAAGGAGTAGATGGAATCGGTGCGGCTCGCGCGGGCGGGGTTAAAGGAGGACGAGGCGCTCGAGGCCGGACGCGACGGTTGGTCGTCTTTCGGCGGCGGCGGCGGGGGCTGATGCCCGTCATTCTCCCTCGTGGTCTGGACGTACTTCTCGAAGTCGGTCTGTTCGGGCGCGTTAGAATCGTCAGCAGAAGCGGGGCCTGGCGGCGCCAACGCGGGCTCTTCTATCACAGACATGGCCGGTGGGGTCTGCCTGATTTCCTCGTCCGGGGAGGTCGACTCTGGCGGACGGAATTCCAGCGGCGGTTCTAGCGTTCGCTCGGGGGTCTCCGAAGGGGTCTCCGAAGGGGTCTCCGCGGGGGTCGGTTGCTGTTCCCGATGCACCGACGGTGCGTCTGGGGCGCCCGGCTCGACCACTTCCCAGATGTCCGGGTCGAGATCCTGCTCGTTGGGAGGGTGTTCGCCTAGCGACGCATTCCAGGCCTTGCCCTTCCTCACGACCCTGACCGAGAGATCCTTGTGTAGATTGTCGAGCTCCTTGATGTGTTCCTGGGGGATGCGACCGACGGCACCGGGGTTGCGCGATCGCGCGGAGTTCTTGTGACTGCCGTCTAGTAACTTGACGCGAGCAGCGAGACCTGGGGACAGGCGACGGAGGATGGAAGGGGGGATGAGGGATTTTTCGGATGCCGGCTGATTTGGATTGGGACTGGGACTCCGACTCCGACTCCGACTGGGACTGGGACTGGGACTGGTGTTGCGATCGTCTCCGTGGCTACTCCCTAGACTCCGGAGACTTCGTAAGGAGGATTTGGCTTTGACGCGTGACGGTCGTGGTGGATCATCGGGGGGAGAGAAAGCGAGCGCGGGGGGAGGCGGCGGCGGCGGCGGAGGGGACGAGAGAAGCGACGTGGACGATGCGTTGTCGTAATCGTAGTAGTCTTCTCGGGGGTCGGGACGGATGGGCGCAGCAGTGGCGGCGGTCGACCCGGGTGAAATGGGACTATGATGCATGGGTCCGGTATCCACGGATGGACAGGCTCACGCTAGAGTTGGGGGGGAACGCGGGTTATGGAATGCCGGACAGGTGTTGAGAGGCGTTCTTGAAGACCCTAGGGTATCCTATGGTATCCTAGAGGATCCTAGGGTATGTTGTCCCTTCGTCCCCCTGATTGAAGAGTGGATGAGTGGAGGGGAAAGTGTGGCTCTTATTGGCGGGGACCCCTGAGGGTGGAGTTGTTCTTGTTTTTCTTTTCTTTTATTCTCTTGTCTGTGGTCCGTTTCTGTGGTCTGTTGCTGTTCATTGAGGGGAAAGAAGAGAGCAAAGAAGAAGAAAGAAAGGTAGAGAAGAAGGATAAAGATGAAGAGGAAGAAGAGAGGGATAGGAAGGGATCGGCCAGATGTCTGAAGTGTTTGAGGAGAAACCAGGGTTGACCGTTAGGCGGTAACATTCCATACAGCCCTGACAATACCGATCCTCAGGCCGGAGATTATCGGAATTTATACACCATATGTATGTTATCAGATATGTATCATTCATTGTATATTTCTTTGTATCATAGATGATAGGAGTCCTTTGAATTCAACTCAAGTGGAAGTGCGGCCCGATCCGTGTGCCTGTTCAGGTACGTTGAAATAGAGACATTGCTTCATAGAGTCACGATCTGTCTCAGTTAGATAGTTGATGATGATCATATGGAGACCACTATCACACTACGCATGTCATCCATAGCAGCCAAAGAAGGGAACAAAGAAAACGAAATTCAAATAGATATACGATATACCATGGACTACCCAGGGAGTATAAACCTGACGAATGCTAGTCAGTAGTGTCGATCACTAGTTTAGCCCCCAAACCTCACCAATGACACCCTCTTCTTATAGAACCGAAGCACAATGACATATTCAACCACCCAGCATATACACCTGTATATACCCACACCCACCAAGCCTATTCATCTCCATACGGATTCCCCAGAACCCGCTCTGCAAACTCCTCCCCCAGCACCGTACTATGAGCCCACGGCTTCTGCCGAATCTCCTCTTTCACGACCCCCGCAAAGCACGCACTCCATCCGGTCCGGGGATATTGTCTGATGACCTCGTTTATGGTGTCTTCGTGGAGGAGATGGGCGTGCTTGCCGGTGTTATCTATATATATCATGAGACCCACTCAGCCCACTATAGAACTTGGGATAAGACCACGGCATATATCTATAACCATATCCATATCCATGTTGATGTGTAGACATAGGCATAGGCATAGACACAGATATAGATGTAGATATAAGGATGGATTGATAGATAAACCAAACTCACCAAAAATAGTCCCCAACTGCAACACCCCCCCAAGAGCAGTAATCCACCCCACCTCACACAAATCCTGATGTCTTATAATCGCCTCAACAACACTCTCCGTCTGCTCCTTACTCGCCACCCCTTCCCCATGCCTAGCATCCCTCCCCCCATCCCCCCCATCCCCCAACAACACCCCCAAAGCCCGGATCCCACCCGCAAACTCAAAACTCAGCCTCGTACCCGTCATATTCTCCTGCGTCGTGCCAATGTCGTGTAGCATACACGCCAAGAAGAACGTCTCGTCGGAGAAACCTGCCCAGCCTGGACTGGACTCGCCGCCGACGCCCTGGGAGGACAGGTACTGATTCATGGCGAGTCCGTAGTGGTAGACGCGGAGGCTGTGGTGCAGGGTTTGGGTGGGAAGGTGGGCTCGGGCGTAGGATAGGATGCGTTGCGCGAGGGGGGTGGTGGGGATGGGTGTTGATGTAAGGGGGTGGTGATGGGGGGTGGTATCCTTGTGGGTTACTGGGTCTGTGAAGGTGGTGGATGAGGCCGGGATGGCTGTGAAGCCGTGGGTTTGGATGGGGTTGGGGTTGGGGTCTTTGGGTGGGGTGGTCATTTCGGTTAGTTCTTTTGGCCTTGGAATGTTCTGAGAAGATGGTGGAGAAGAAGACGAAGAAGACCAAGAAGAAAAGCGGAGAATTATAATGTTTCACTTCATGAGCAAAATGAGGGTAAGCACAACTGACTTGTGTCGCAGTGGGCGTCATTAAATGCCATTACTACGTCATGTGTATCTCAATTTCTATACGGAGTACTACCAAGTAATGATATCCAACCAATGCAATTATGTAACGATATGTAGTAATGCTATAGTAAATTGTAATAAATGCAATGCTATAATTGAATAAAACAATGCAAGTGATACCCTCGAAGCTATATACAAGAGACCAAGAGATCAATGCGAACCCCCCAAAACAACAGAAATAGAAATAGACCACGAGAATTAGATGCAAATATTCAGCTCGGATTGTGACACCAGTCCGAGAGAATGAAGAATGAGACAAAATGATGGACAGCATGCTCTCCTGGGTGAGTGGTGCAGCCGGTAAATATGTATATGAAAGAATCCAGGTGAAGGGGGTATCAAATGGGCAGAAAGTAAACAGAGATGCAACGCGAACGACATAAACCAATAGAAAGATAGATGTACTCATGCGAAATAGACTCATGCAGATATATAGACTATGCAGAATAGACTATGCAGATCAAACTGCCATACTGTCAGCAGGAACACCCGCATCTGCAACGCTCTGCGGCTCCTGCCAGTCGCGCGTCAACTCCTCGCGCACCGCATGACACCAACGCAAGAGCGCTGCATCGAATTTTCTCCAGGCGTCATCATCGCCGCCATTGACAACGCCCATCACGTCCATCTTGAGCTTCGTCTCCCACCGGATCTCGGCGGCCTTGACCCAGAAGCGGAGATTCTCAGCGCAGCGGTACGGCTTCGCGACATCCTGGTGGTATTTCTTGATCTCGCAGAACTGGCGCTTCGACTTGCGGATCGCCTGGTTGTGCGCGCGCACGAGTTCTCGCCCGTCGCGGAAGCGCTCCAGCAGCGGCGTCGGGAGGGGCCCGTCCTCTGGGGCGGTCCAGACTGGCAGAGGGCTGTCGGTGTCTTCAACCAGACTGCGCAGGAAGGCTTCCTCGCGCTCGCGCTCGCGCCCGCTCCAGTCGCCCCGGGCCCAGGTCCACCCTTCGCGTTCTTTGGCCTCTGCCGCCTCGAGCTGGGACTCTTGTGCTAGAAGGTCGTGCACGCTTGACATCCAGCCTCGAATCGAGGACAGCTCGTCCTCGCGGAGCCCGCCTGCGAAGTTGCGCGACGCCCACCGCTTCAGTACCTCTAGGACGTTGAACAGATCCTGTCGGATCTCCCGCTCGCTCCGGATGGATGCCAGTCGCTCGGGCCGCTCGTGGGTCGTGTAGTAGATCTTTGCCGCGCGGATCGCGAGCGTGACGACGTCCAGAATCCGCAGACCGTAGATCTCATGCAGACGCTGCGAGATGGGCTGCGCTGGCTTGCTGGAGGGGGACTCCTCATCCGCGCTAGGAGCACCATCGGGCGACAGACTGATGCGAGGCGGGTTCATATCCGGAGGTAGACCCTTCTGCGCGACGATATCATCAATATTCCGCTTCGCCTTATCGAGCGAATGCACCAAGTCCCTCCGTAGCGTCATCAGATCCGGCGGGGGGGGAATGTAGTGAGTCTTAATGCTATACGTGCTGACCGTCGGCGGCAGCATCATCTCATCATGCCCGTCGAACCCATCTTCCCCCACATCCGAGATCTCCTCATCGGTGGTCGCACTGTCCGAGATGTCGTCGATGAACCGCGCGTTGGGCGTCAGCAGCATCCGCGCCCGATCTTCCGGATTCTTCTTCTTCTTCTTGTATTCCCGCGCGTGGCCGCCCTTGCCGTCGAGCAGGCCCGTGCGCGCGAAGTAGTACTGCAGGTGGGCGATGCTGCCCAAACTCATGACGCTTTCGCGGTGGCGCGCGGAGTCGGCGAATTCGGCGCCCTGGGGCCGGATGTATCCGCGTCTCTTGGTCGAGATGGACACCGAGGAGCGGGCGTCGGCGGAGGTGGCGGACGAGGTCGAGTGCGAGGAGACCGTGGAGAAGGTCCGGTCTGGGGATGGGCATGAGGAGATGGCGGGTGTTGGGGAGAGAGACGGGGAGGGCGACGAGGCGCGGATGGCCGAGGCTTCCATGTCGATAAAGTCATCCATTCTGGCTCATTCCTTGGTGTTGTGATTATGATTATTGTTATTCTAATGGGTCGCGTGTTGTGGGCTCTGGTTCTGGTGGTAGGTGGTGTGAACAGATCTCAGAAGCACGGTGGACGCGACGCCAAAATTGGGCGAGATAAGTTATATCGCACAGTGGATTCGAGGGGGAGCGTGATCGTTGGGGCGACAACGGGTGCTAGAAATACTAAATAGGGATTTCAATTTAATTACGCTGAGATGGGAAAGGCGACGATGATCGATCTGCTGGCAGAGGTGAATCCGAACAATGAAAGGGGGCGTACGGAGTGCTCCTCCCACTAAAAGGGGAGAAGCGGGTCGTATAGGTAGGCTAACGGCCTTAATTATATGCAGATATTAATAGAAGAAATGGAAAAAAGAAGGAAGACGGATGGAAGGAATTACCCATCACATTTGTTAGCCTTGACCCTTGACCTGTAACCCCTTAAAGCCAAGATTGGATTATTTGGATTGACCCTGATTTCTAACTACAGCCCTATCGAACGAAATCTATACCAGAGTCTATCAGTATAGAGGAGTAGATTGGAATGAGAGATCCATGTTTCTCCTTACATACCCGTCAGGCACAACCAGACTGTCATTTTACCGGTAGAGTGGTATATCATACGCGAGATACCCGTTTTCCCACCTATAAAAGCAGCATTCCTTAATTTGAAACGTCGGTATTATGTATTGGTCTGGTATGCAGCCCAAAATTACACCGTCCCACAACCGAGAAGACATGCATAAGTGGATGACAGTCCCGCTATGACAGGCATAATCTGTGGATTATGAGATGAGATTCAAATGGTGCACGAAAGATAATGATTTGGAGGATTCGACTCTATCTATTATGATATATCAGTGAGCCTTTCTTCATCATGCAGTGATATAAAAATGAGGAATCATTCACATGCGCGACATCCAGAGATCAATCATATCGCTTGTTTTTTCCGCAGTGAAAATTATCTCGGATGAATATCGACGATTTCTCTAGGATCGGTCCAGCATCCTATCTGAATAGATATCTCCGGATCATACGGAGCACGGAGTACGGAGTACGGAAGTGGACCTCCCTAAGCGACTTGTACAGTAACTGCCAACTGGACAGTATTGTTCAGGGGACCCATAACCACTCGGCACGTTAGGCACCTGCGCTTCCGAGGTCCATCCCACTACTCCTTATACACGTCTACACAGCCCTCCTATAGTATACTCTAAGCCTATACACAGTCTGATCATTGCAAAAAAGGTCATAAATCATATATCGACGGTGGTGAGGTAACAACAATGCTGCGCCATAGTAACAAAAACCTCTGAAAACGCCCACCCATTTTATCACGACGATCTGTAAACAACATACAACCCCCAATCCAAAATACCATGCACCTTTCAACTAGGCGAACTGTACTTATTCGCCGTTTTCTCTAAATCGCCAACCTTTCCCCGACCCAGTCCCAATTTCCGCCGCAAGTTGATCTCCTTGACAAGAAGACCGCGCTTCCTCCGTCGCGGGGGGTAGTTGATAGGGCTTTCGCCGCCCGTGAAGATCACCAAATCGTAGATAAACGCCCCGAACAGCATTCCGAAGATGCCAGCCATCCAAGGGCCCCACACCCACCAGGCGTGGTGCTCTCGGAACAGGTGGCCGCCCCATCCGGCCATTACGGCTACCAGGCGGGGGCCGAAGTCTCGCGCGCCATTAAAGCATCTATCCGATACAATTAGCAATCAATCAAACCAGGAGCCAAAATGGTAAAAAGGATAATATACCCTCCAGTGTTATACCCAAACGCCAAGCAAAGAATGGTAATCAGAATTCCCACAATAAACGCCTGCATACCCGCCCCAGGCGGCGCATTGGTATCATCACCCAGGGCAAGAATCGTGCCCATGAGGATGGCACTGCCGAAGAACTCATTGAAAAACGCAGTCGCAGGGCTGACGAAGCTCTTCGGCTGAGTGAACATCGCCTGCGCCGCGGGGGACGCGTTCTGATCGACCTTGCTTTGCTTCGCCGTCAGCACGATCGCGTCGTGGTAGATGGCGTAGACGACGCCTCCAGCGGTGATGGCGCCTAGGAGCTGCGCGAGGACGTATATCACGCATTTTTTGGCGGGGAAGCCTCGCCACACGGACATTGATATGGTGATTCCGGGGTTGAGGTGGCCGCCGGAGACGCCGCCTGTCATGTAGATCGCGAGCATGAAGCCGAAGCCCCAGGCGACGCACTGTGAAGCGAAAGATCCGGCTTGGCCTTGCGACGTGACCCATGAGAGCGAGGCGCCTAGGCCGAGACTGACGGCTACTGTCACCTATCATCACTGTTAGCTGAACTCTTCTGGATCTGTTGGATAAGTGAGGGAATTGAAAGAAACATACCCCAAGCCACTCCGCAAGCGGCTCACGCAGATAGTGCCGAATCTTGCACCAAGTGTTGAGGAACTCGCCTTCCTGGTCCTCGCCGGTAGTGTCCCGCTGCGGCCCCGTATCGGTACGGCCTTCCTGTGCATCCATAGCCTCCTGCTCCGTCCGACCCTCAGACTGCCCCGCCCTGGGATCAGCGGCGTTATCCTCCTTGCGATCCTCAGGGAGAATGCCCCGGCGCATGCCGGGCCGCACGACGCGAGGCAGTGGCTGAGAGAGACTCCACACTGGGCCGTCGTCTTCTGACTTGCCCCCGTACTGGGGGTTCAGCGACTCGTACTCTGGTGAAATGTATTGGTTGCCCGAGTGCCAGGGGTTGTGGCCGGCGAGGGAGAACTGCGGCTGCATGCCGGCGCTTGCTCTGCGATCGTGCTCATCGTGGGTGCGTGGTGAGGAGAGACGTTCTCGGTAGCTGGGTTCTGTGGTTTGTGAGTATGGATCTTGATTTGGGGATTGGCTGATAGCAGTACCTCCTCCTGGGTTTTCCTTGTCGCCGTGACGAAGGGTTTCTTCGCTGTCGCCCATGTTCGTGTTATTTCAAATCGGTATCACAATGATGTATAGAAAAGTATATAAAAATGAGACAGGATCTCAGCACGAAGCCGACACGAAAAGAAGATTAAGGAAAGTGGAGAAGAAATAATCTAATTAAAATAAATTAATCTCAAACCAGCAGAGAATATTATAGTGACTACAGTTTTTACAACGCAGTAAGTAAAGACTGACTCGCTTTTTATCCCACGCGGGGACCCAATTGCGTCACGGCCGAAAAAAATCTCAGATTTCCAGGCTCAAGCTCGGCACCGACGTTTCCAAGGTTTTTCCAAGATTTTCCCGCTGTCGGGACCCAGCCAGCGTCACCGTCCAAACGGACTCTCCCAATTACGGGGAAAACATGGTACCGGTGTGTGTTCCAGCGTGGCGAGATCCATGGCGTCATGATGTTTTAACTGACTGCGATTGACGGGTTTCAAGCCGTCGCGGGAGGCGGAAGGCTACTAACTAACTCTATGTATGAACAGCATTTCGCTCTTTTCTTTGCATAAGGGAATCTGATATCGACAAATGGGCTCAAAGCTCGGCTACCTGGGGTTATTGTATAGATAATGATATTCGCGAAGGCGCAGTGCCGATCATCGATTCGTCCAATGTAAAGGCCGATGGCTCAACGGGCCGAGAGCGTCTTTTCATACCTACTATGTCATTTGGTGGTTTGCTTGTTAAATGGGTCTTTTCGAGTATCTACTAAGTGGGTATTCCGATTGAGGCCAGGAGATGTCGCTAAAACTGGGATGGTATAGTTGTCCGCGTGTGGCATTGGTGTCTATCTGTTAGGTACTTTTTCGGCTCTGGTCTGCTAATACCATCCTTTGATCGTGACAGTATCGCCATGCTCCACTTTTGATGCCCACTTGGCTTTGGTATTGTAAAGAATCTCAAATCGATGGTGAAAGGACTGGAATGACGAAGAACGTATGGGAATGATAAGATTGATGAATTCTTGATCATGTAGGTTCTAAAAGACAGTGTAGTGAGGATTCTTGACTCAGTAGTAGATGTCTGACAGAAGGATAGTAGAGTTCCTGCTACTCAGAGGGCCATCTAGAAGTCCTCCTTACCACCTCCTAATTCTGCCACCACAAGGGTTTCCCTTCTTCCACAGTTCTTATCATCTGAGAATAACTTCAGATACCCGCCTGTTTACTAGGTCACATTACATAACATTAAGTGATATTTCTTTATTTACATATATACTTTCTACTCCTGTGTTCAAAAGATATTTTTGTTATTATATCTAATACCTGTCGCGAGAGAACGGGGTTTTTCAAGCACCCAGGGGGACCTGTTATAAATATGGCTGGCCGTTCCTTCTGTTCCTTCAAAAGATTAAACCATAGTTATTAATACTGCAGGTAGCTAGATAGGTCAATGGAGCCAGGTTCCGCCACACCCTTGACAACTACTAATGATGATGAATGAACCCCCGCGAAGACACGAGGACCACAGATTCGGCGATGTGTGGGGAGGCGTAGGCAGCTCGCCAGGATGACCGCTCTCTCGCCCCTATAACGAACACCAAAGACGACAATAACCCCACGACTGCAATGCGACTAATGGGCTTAACATTCCACAGCCGAGATGCGAGCCCCACATTCCCATCCAATTTGTCAAAGCCCCAGAAGTTGTCACTGTATATAGGATACGGGACGTAGCCGCTCACTTAGAATGGGTGCTCGCCTGCTCGCTTATGGAACACATGAATAACTTAGGTAGTTTATGGATAATTTATTTAGAAAATCCCTTTTCCGAGGCCTAAAACAAAACATGACCAAAGCTCCTGTACAATCTGAAACACTCTGTCAAGCCAATATCTTAGTAAACCATCTCGTAATATCACCACTTCCATTCTTTTTTCGGTTCATGAAAAAGAACGTATCCAGAAGCATTTTCTCATGACTAGCCTTCTCTGTAATAATGAAGTTGAGGTGGCTTTGTTGATGATGTGGCTGTTGTTCATTGGTCTCGCTGCCGGCAGAACTTGATTTGGTCTCTGCAAGTGCTTGTTTGATCAATCTTGCAAATGCAGATATCTCATCAAAGAGTATCTCCCCGCTTCCTGTCCAGAGCATAATCTCAGTGACCACGCTACTGACTACTTTGACCCAATATTCAACTGGAGCCTTTATGGGTTGCATGTAGTAATCGCCTTTGCTCTGGGCTCCAACATAACTTTGGACGGCATTGTCGATAGCTTCAACTGTTATGTAGTCTGATCTAAAATTCGATTGGAAAGACGGTGAAGAAGTGTCGAATGATATCCAAGGGGAGATGAAGAGTGCGCCCAGGAGCGGAGTTGAGAGCTGAATTGACGGGACAAGGCCGGAGGGATGTGGATAGGCAAGATGGAGGAGTAGCGCACCAATCAAATTGCCACCAGCTGAATCACCACCCAGTATGATCTCGATAAGGGAACAAAATCAGTGTTGGTGGGGGGTATAATGCGAAGAACACATACTGAGGAAGGTTTTCGGTTCCGCTGGTCTAGCAGATATCGAAGGGCTGTTGCAGCTTGTATAAGCTGCCCAGGGTATCGTGTACCAGGCGCAAGAGTATATGCAAGAGAAAAGACAGCAAATGAGTGACCTTTCTTGCATAGTTTCTTTTGAAGCTTGAACTGATATGAAACATGGCCAGGGGTTGCACTTATGACAAACCCACCACCTGTACGTTCGAATTGTTTATATCAGTAAAGGTTGTCTGACCAGTACGCTTAAGAGAGTTGAGCATGTATACCATGGAAGTAAAGCATAACATATTCCGCGTCTCGTCTTCCAATCCACAGCCCTTTCGCGTCACCACCGAGGTCAACAATATCTGGCTTGCGTAGCCTTGCTCTGCTAATGAGATTATATGTGGTTTCTGTCGATGGTAGAGCATATTGCGCTGTTTCGACAGATGTTTCGGACGTAATGACACGAAGACCACTGTTTAGGACGTCCCTTGCGTATTTGGGAGCGCCTTCTTGCTTCTGGAACGGGGCTACGACTGCACACCTGGAGGAGGCGAGAGCTAGCTATAGAGTAAGCAGGGGCTTGTTACTATTGCGTGTGGAAACCTACTAGCTTTTGCAGCGACTCGTACTATATTACGCTTCCTGCCCCTTTGATGATTTCTGGCCATGGTGTCCTGGGGTCAAGCGAAAATATTTTAATTGTTGGCTTATTACTTGTATCATGTAAATAGCAAGCAACTTGGTCAAATTTGTCACCCGTCGACAGTATAACACTAAGGGTTTGTTAGCATCCATGTAACTCCCTAAGCCACGGGCCGAGGGTCAATTCGGTCCTACGCGAGCTTAGATACATCGATCCTAAATCAACTAGCAAATCACATGTTGCAGAGTACATCATCGATGCTAGCAGGTAGGAGAAGATCGTCCATGCTGGGTATGTACAGAAATGTGACAGAAGTCATGACTTTCCATGTTATTCGGCTCTGGGATTTGAAGTTTCCGTTTCTGGTTTGTATGGAATGGTTTCGAGATAACCTGTAATAGTTGGCTACCTGCGTTGCTTGGACTTCTAGGTTAATAACACCACAGATTAATTAAATACAGCACTAATAAACTTCCTAACTAGACAGGGAATACTGGCGTGTACTTTTCACTATCTGCGCACGTTGAATGATTGAAATGAGTATCTCGAGAATCAGGATCAGCGACACTATGATTGAGTTTTACTTAAACCTGTTCTAAGTATTCTAGTCGACCTGTGTTATCCACTTGTCGAACTTGTAGTTACAAAGCCCTTATCAGATCTAAAGCGGGTGCCGTGGCTGAACAACAGACCGGTCTCGGCGAGATTAATCTGGGGAAAATAGGGCATTAGACAAGATCTCACCACTATGAAAAGATCTCGGGGACAGATAACCTTAAACGAACGCCCAGTATATTGAATGGTATCATATACTCGATAGTCAGATAGCTACTGGTCTGTTTGTGATAGTGTTGTTCGAATAGTAGGATTTTCAGTTTGCCACGCGTACAACGCGCCTTCATCAGCTTCAACACATACTTCACATACTTCTGACAGCTTGACTTGGACTCCGAAGGTTCTCTCTATCAAAAAGTAGTTTGGATTGACTATGGTTTTAGGTTAAACTTATCCTGATATAGCGTGAAACATAGTACACCTGTAGCCAGCTGTATGTGGTTAATGTGCATATTCATAGTCCAGGGGAAATTCCTTGACCGAAGAGATGTAGTATACCTCCAAAGTATAGATAGTCATTACATGCAATATCAGGCGCCGTCTTTATATATGTATTAGTTTATATACACCTCTGCGATGGTAGTTGGCCGCTGCTTGCTGGTAATCTCCGATCAAAGATTTGTGATTTGTCGCTCTCGGTACTATACTCGGGGATATCACTAATCAAAAGACTATATCGACCCATTCCCGTGGCATCACCATAAGAACTGCAAACGACCCAGAGCATTCACTCAATATTCCTGTCTGTAAACCGAGGTCTTTATGATGTTGTATAGTCAAATTGGCATGGTTACCGATCAAATAAGTGTCAAAAATGACAGCTCCACTTTGCGATCATTCTTTCTCCATGAAAATGGCGTACCGAGGCAATAACAACCATGCCATGGAAGTGAATATATATATAGTTAGGTATCCTATTTGAGTATATGTGGCTACCGTTACATTTAAATTCCGGCTCCACGACCAGTCTTATCTACCCGACTTACCCCGGACCTTCCAAAGGTATGCTACGTTGTGGTGTTCAACTTCAGGACTCATACGCTGACGAAGAAGGAGACAGGAAGACACCGAAACCGCCAGCATATAATTCAAGTCAAAAGTGCAAGATGGCTACCACACCTCAATACAAGTACAAATATTGGACCGTCCAATTTCCTCGCGAGCATGTTGCCCATGTAGAAATCAATCGCCCCGATAAGCTCAATGCTTTCATTCAACAGTATGCTCCTTCCAAAACCCTAGCCCAGCAGCCTGGTCATACTGACATAGGGTCTAGAATGTGGCTTGAAATGCGACAACTCTTTGACCAACTCTCAGTGGATCCTCGCGTCCGCGCTATCGTCCTGACAGGCGCCGGCGATCGAGCCTTCACCGCCGGTCTCGATGTAAAAGCAGCATCTACTGAGATATTTGGTGACAAGGGCGGGGCCGACACCGCGCGCAAGGCAATCATTCTGCGCCGATATGTCCTCGCCTTCCAGGACTGCCTCACGGCCATTGAGCGCTGTGAAAAGACGGTCATCTGCGCGATGCACGGGTTCGCCTACGGGTTCGCCATCGACATCTCCTCCGCGACCGACATCCGCATCTGCACGCAGGACGTGCAGTTTGCCGTCAAAGAGGTCGATATTGGAATGGCGGCGGATATTGGCGTCTTGAGCCGCTTGCCAAAGATTGTCGGCAGTTATGGCTGGGTGAAGGAGGTGGCTATCTCGGCACGAATCTTTGGTGCGGATGAGGCCCTGCGAGTGGGCTTTGTGAACGCAATCCACAGCTCTAAAGCTGCGGCAGTACAGGCTGCTCTTGACCTGGCCGGGTTGATTGCGCAGAAGAGTCCTGTGGCAGTGTTGGGTACGAAGGAGTTGCTCAACTATTCACGGGATCATTCTATCAATGACGGTAAGCTTTTTTTTTTTTGGGGTACATTTCGCGGTTTGCGATGCTAATTGGGGCCAGGACTCCGTTACACCGCAGTCTGGAACAGTGGTGCCATCCAAACAGACGACGTTCCCGCTGCTTTAACGTCGAGCATGGAGAAGCGGGTCCCTACGTTTGAAAAATTGTGATTTTACGGCGACAAACCGACAAATTGACGGAAAAAGGTTTAGATAGCAGGTAGAATAAGACACATGAGATAATCATTTGCTATTTGATCAAAGTATTGGAAATCTCTCAAACTTAAAGAATGCGACGAGGTTTTGCATCTTGTTGTCGGGCTCTAAAATAGAAACAGCCAGTATATCGTGGGATAATCGATGACCTACCGTGAATGGGATTTCGGAAGGTGAAGGGAAATGGCAGGCTTCAACACCAATGCAATGATATTGCTGTCGCATAAGAGTCAAGCGTGCAATCCGCAAATCGATCACTATCATTTCCCACAGGTCTCCAGTTGGAGGCGGATCTATTATAAAGAATGAGATTCACAAGTATGAGTGGAAGGGTGTTGTGACCTATTTCTGCTACTGCTACTTCTACCGTATCTACAAGTTCGGTCGGTGGGAGAGCAGCTCCTGGGGGCCGCCCGGTCCCGAATGGTCGAACTCATAAGCCAAAATCTCCAAATTCCATCCCCGGTACTTCCTCCATATATCCATATGTTCCATGGTTGATACTCCGGCTACTTGCCCACTCAGAGCAAGAATATGTGAGCGGTGATATATTGAAACATATTGATTTAACTGAAAGAAAGGCTTCAAATCCAATAGGTGGTACTTTTCGAACTATTCGGTTTACTGCCCAGCCTGGGTTTCCAATTGTGTAGCGCGAAGTATCTCTCCCAGAGCTCTCTCAGTCCGCAAATATGTGCGTTTCCCTTTCGAGAACCAGAAGCCGATAGCAACCACAAGCATAATCCCAAATACCGCAACGGCATAGTTCATCCCGGCGGTAGTCGGAGAGGGCTCACCGGGAAAGAAGAAAAACACGGTAGTAACACAACAGTATATCAAACCGACCCAATATATAGCAGGGCCCAGACGTCCGAGGGAAAACTCTCCCCGTGGAAGATCCACCTTGCCGAAAATCACCAGCGCGAATATCGGGATCCCGTATGAGATGGTCAGGGCGATTGTGGAGACGCTCACTACTGCTTGGATGGCAGCCTCCGTAAAGAAGTATAGAACACCCACTAGGGCGATAATAACACCCTGAGCCCATAGGGCTCGTGCTGGGACTTTCCAATAGCTATCCACATGCGTCAGATAGTTGCTATATGGGAGTCCGCCATCGCGTGCAAATCCCCATGTTAAGCGAGAAGCAGTTGTGATAATGCTAACGCCTTGCCAAATTCCGTGAAATACGAAGATGGCGAAAAGTGCGACCGTTCCTTGAGGACCAACGGTCTCTGTAAAAAGTTCCACGAAAGGAAGTCCTGACGGAGGATCCAAAACTCCCTTTAGGTTCTGAATGCAGAAAAGGCAAATTATCATGAATATTATGCCTGATATAGTGCCGGAGACTATGGAAAGCCAAAGAATCCGCGGTCCATACTTCTGAGGGTGCGGTATTTCTTCGATAAGATGGATCACAGAATCGAAAGCTGTTAAACCATAGGCTGACTGCACAAGCCCTAAGAACCAGACAGTACCATCGCTCCACCCAGTGTTGTTGATCCATTGGCCGAAGACGAAGGAAGGCTGTTGGAAAGAAAGATCGTCTTTGGTGCCCACTGCGATAAGAATGGCGAGAGAGAAAAGAACAAACTCCCCTGCGAACCAAACTCCGACGGCATTATTGAACCAGCGGAGTATCCAATCTTTGCGGCACGCGATGACATTGCAAATTGTCATCAGCAGGGTGATACCGACGTAAATGACGAACTTCAGCCACCCCGTGCTAATCCCAGTCCAATCATTATCAAACACAATCTTCATTCCGAGGATAAGCTCTGTCATGAACACATTCTGCGATGCCGCAAGAGTCCACCAACCAAACACATTAATCCAAGCACAGGAATATGAAACGAATCGACCAAGTGACGATTTCCAGAGACGAGAAACGTAGTATGCTTGCCCTAATGCGGTGGGCATGCTGCTACACAGTTCCCCAAGAGAAAGTGCCACGCAAAGGTTGCAGAATGCGACAAGACAAAGGCCCCAAAGTATTGTAATCGGTCCTCCATTCGTCAGTCCATTTGCGAGGTCGACTGCAAAGGTTTTCCAGGTACCAAGGACGCTGAATGATAGGGCAAACATGCTCCAGGGACTGAATTTACGTGAAAGGCTTTGGACATGGCCCATTATAGCCAGGTTTTCGGCATCATCGGTGGATTTCTCGGCTGAGCCCATCTTGTCAATGGTTGATGGCTTCTCTGGATCCATATTGGGGAGCGGTTGGTGTCGTTCTTTATGAGCTTTGAGAAGTATATAAAAATGTAGGAGCAATTGAGCAATTGAGCAAAATAAAAAATCAATAAATTCCCTCATTGAAGGGAGCTTGGGGGTATTTGTACTTAGTAGTGTCTGTAATTTTCTATAATGAATTTCCCCGGATTTCTTGTCGATATACATTCCGGAGATCACTTAGCGGGGATTAGATGCTGTATCCACGAGGATCGTAGAGAATGGCTGCACACTACCCCACCATATGGCATATTGGTATCCTTCGGTAAATTTGGCTATGGGTTTATCCCAATCAATTGCCAGTTAAGGAAGTGTTTGAGGCCTCTTGTCATACGAGTTTCCTAAATCAACACATGCATGCATTAGCACCATCAATTAGGTTTCGGCCATCGGTGCCAAAGAAATCAATCCATGTAATTGCCGAGCTGAGCTTCAATGTTAGAGTTGGTAGCCTTCGCCGGCTTATGTCGTCCTATCTTCACTCACTCGTACAGCCTCGTAATAGTCTTGCTCCTTAATCTGCCCGATTTCTTTCCTGTTTAAGTGTCAAATGATTGTCGTAGTAAGTTAGCTACGGAAAATCACCGGTCTTCCCCATTCTAGAGCTTTGTGCTGCACCATAAGTTAACCTATAAGGTGCATTTATACCAAATCATGTGGAGATATGCGTGTACCCACCACTGTAGCAGTGCCATTAGAGCATGACTGACCAAAATATGACAGCACTAAGTCGAACTTGGTAATTAAATTGACCACGCTAGAAACTCTACTCTGTACGGAGTAGACGGGATGGAAATAGATGAGACGATCTCATCCGAGTATGCGGCATGAACTCCGCCTTCGATCGTTTTGGCTATAAATTGCACTTCCTACTCCTATTTCATATCTAACCATCTTGCTACGTTCTATATCTTACATCGATAAGATCTTCCTCAATGGCTTCCTTTCCCGTGCAACGTGCCCTGAAATCGTGGTGGAGAACCCAGCTGCATCGACTTGACGACTATAGATCTTCCGAACAGGTGCCAGAGGAATCAGATGTGGTGATCATCGGAGCTGGAATATCAGGCGTATCGGTTGCATATCATCTCCTCAACCAGAATAAGGGACATAATGGACCACAGATCACGATACTAGAGGCACGCGAAGCCTGCTCTGGAGCAACGGGTCGAAATGGTAAGTCATCGGATTGTCGTTCATTTTCAATCCATCACTAAATTTTAAACAATACACTAGGTGGGCACTTAAAGCCAGACCCTTACAACTTCATTGGTGAAATTGCCGCAGAATACGGCCCGGAGGCAGCCGAAGAGGTCGCCAAGTTTGAGCGTGCCCATATTGACGCTATTCGGGAGCTTGTGCAGACTGAAAATATTGACTGTGACTTTGTATTGACAAAGGCCGTCGATGTTCAGTTGAATCCAAGAGAGTGTAGGAATATCAAGGCCAGCTTTGATCAGTTGCCAGGCCTTGGTGTCGAATCCGCTAGACGAGTGGACTTCTATGGACAAACGGATGCGGAAGAGGTAAGTTCTACAGAGTTTAAAAATCTGCTGCAATTGATAGTAGACTGATTTCCTCTAGCGATCTCGTGTCAAGGGTGCCCATGGTTGTCTCAGCTACGAAGCGGGCCATATATGGCCCTACAAACTTGTTCTACATATTCTTGACCGTTGCGTTGAGCGAGGAGCAAAACTTTACACGCATACTCCTGCGCAGTCCATCTCATCGGAGAGAGACGCTTCCGGAAAATGGACGGTGAATACACCAAGGGGATCAATCAAGACGCAACATGTGGTCTTCGCCAGTAATGCATACACGCCGGCTATTCTTCCCATGTACTCGGGCAAGATTGTCCCAGTGCGTGGGGTCTGTTGCAGAATAGTACCAACTCGTCCGGTGGAGAAACTCACAGAAACATACACTTTGAGATGGTCTGGACGTGAGTTTGACTATCTCATTCCTCGTGAAGATGGGAGCATTGTCGTCGGCGGTGCCTGGAGTAAATACTATCAGGACGCAAGCAATTGGTACAACGTCGCCAATGATGGCGAGATGATAGAACCCGCCAAGGAGTATTTTCGTAATTATATGCAACGGCATTTCCACGGTTGGGAGCAAAGCGGTGCATATATCGACCATATTTGGACCGGAAGTAAGCCAACCCAACCACCTACCACATTTGGAAAAAAATGTTAACTGAGTTCTCTAGTCATGGGATATTCGACAGACTCGCTGCCTCATATTGGGCAGATACCAGGAAAACCTGGCCAACTTATCATTGCTGGCTTTACCGGTCACGGAATGCCTCAAGCATGGCTTTCCGGTAAGGGTGTGGCAGCGATGGTAGCGGAGGGGATTCCGTTCGCTCAATCGGGGATTCCAAAGTTGTTTGAGACCACTCAGATTCGCCTTGAAAACAACAGAAATGACATCCTTGAAAGTATGGAAGATCCTAACCAGCCGCGTTCACGACTATGATATGCTACCAGCACGGTAAAGTCGGCACAGTGTCACCGAATAGGAAGCGTATATCTCAAGTTCCTTGGATGTGATAGGAATAGAATCAAGCTCATTGACGAGCCTAAATATGATTTCATTTTCCACTAGTAAAAAAGAACATGTTGTCTGAAACTTCAAGTTGATAGGGTACTCCTCGCTTATCATAGTCTAAAAAACTCCGCATTCGCATATCTCCGGTCTAAGTAGATGAGTAGATGAAACCTTACCACGCATAATCCATTGGTTGTTGGCGTCCAAATCACCTTAGTTGCTATATAATACTATTCAGATACTCGGATGTTTGTAGGATGCGTTCTACCCCCATCATCTCCTCTTAGAAGTGGCGGGTCCTCAGTCTTCTTTGTGAAAGGGCATCAATTATTATATTCTACTCGTCCTAAGGCAAATACCTATACTGTCTATGCCTTCAAAACGTGAGCGAACGGTCCAAGGCTCATGTTGGTCCTGCAAACAGCGCCGGGTAAGGTGCGATCTTACAAGGCCTCTATGCCGGAAATGTATATTGTCCGGAGCGAAATGCAGCTACGACAGGTTTCTGATAAGATGGAAAGAATGGCCAATGAAAAAAACCCCAACCACGGATCAGTCGTCCGATATGAGCTTGACAATACACTTGAACGACAATTCTCTGGCTGTTGGTGACCTTCGGGCCCTCGAGTACTTTGAATCCGTTCTATCGTGGCCTGCCGTATTCGGAGGCCAACGATCAGTCTTTGTACCTAGATCGTACCACCTTGAATATTACTGCTTGCTTCCTGAATAAGCCTGTCTCATCCATATTATAGATATCTTCCCCATTAAATTCCCTAGAGATCGTACAGATTCCAGCCATTTCTTCTTCAGCCTCTTGAGTTATTGATCCTGCTTCACCATGCCGATTTTGTGATTCGATATTGTGTCGCTGTTTGAATCGATGAAGCCAACCAGAGCTGGAATGAGGTTCTGGCTTATCTTTATATTGTGGTAATGATCTCCAGATATCACGAGCTTTTGCAATAAGAATCTCTCCGATTGTAAAGCCACCACGGGATTCAATAAGGTGTTGCCAATCAAAAAGGATACTCTCAAATCTATATATAAGAGTCTTTCAGCTCTTTAACTTTAAAAGAGTCTGATAATAGCTAAATGAATTGATCCAACATAAGCCCGTTCTTTGAGACCCTGAGACATTGATACTCATTGAATGCTGACTTCCAAACACAGACATAGAGAATTCTAGCAGTTTATTATATGCTGTTCACTTTTGTACATGATGGTTATATCTGTTCTTTGAGAGGCGATTAATTGATACAACTGATGTTTCCGTTCATAGAGCCAATTTGTACTGAGATCGTTGAATCGAACTCAAATGTCACTTCACCGGACTCCAGACTCCAGACTCCATACACGGCGTTCTCGAGTTGTCTACCATGTCCAGTTGGGCATGGAGATACTACCCACATTCTTCAAATGTGTATAAAACAGGAGAAAAAAAAAAAAAAAAAAAAAGGGGGAACAAGATAAAAGAAAAGAGAACAGAAAAAAAAAAAAAAAAAAAAAAGAAACAAGAGGGGCAAGAAGAAAAAAAGGACGGGCAATCTAAATCACCTCATCTCGCTCCCACCCGGTAGCCCGCAAGTTCTCAATACCCTTACCTGGATGCGGCTTGGACGGATCCTTATACTTAGCCGTATAAGGGTTGGGGTCCATCTGCTGCAAATTGCTCAGAGTATGGTTCACCTCGCGGTGCTTCGCCTCGTCCGCGCGGACATAATACAGCAAATCCTTGATCGTCCGCTGTCCCTCAGGCATCTTCCAGTACTGAATGGCGATCTCGGGCGCTTGCTCATTCTCCCAATGGGGGAGCTTCCCCGCCTCAAGTTCCTGGATGGATCGCGTGTAGGTGATGACGGCTTCTTCTTCGAGATATCCGACGAAGCGGTGGCAGGTGCGCGGGGACATCAGGTAGGAGAGGAAGAAGCCGTTGAAGAAGACGCCCTGCGCGCCGAGGACGAGCAGACGCATGGTCCATTTCGGTTCGGAGAGTTTCATGAACGTTAGGAGGTGCATGCGCTCGTTGAAGGCTTCTTCGAGCAGGGTTTCGATCCTACGGGAGTCAGTCAACTATGAGGATGACAGAGGAATTAGGGCTGGACTGGCTCACCATCCGTTGTCTCGCTTCATCCGTCTCAGACTTCTCAAGTGTCGGAGCATGCCGCCTACCATGCCGGGCACACCGGCCACACTTTCCAGGAAGATATACCGCGTGAGCCACTTCGACTCCGTCATCTGGAACTTGGGATCGCCTTCTTGGCCGGGCTTGGGATGTTTGTACCCCGATACTAAGTCCATACCCCAGCGCAATACGCGGACTGTCCCGAGAGCCACCCAATCCGACCAGTCTTTTGCCTGGCGATGAGCGATCGTGACGTGCCGCATTTGTTCGTCGGTGTAGCTGGTGCTATCAGTTAATGGCCTATAACATTATGTTGAGAAGAGGGTCAGATGGGAGCTTACACAGGATGTACCCAAACCGTCTCGACTTCTCTGATACGGGGCGCATCAGGGGGCGGGAAGTAATCTTTTATCTGGTGCTGGGGCGTCGAGGAGAACAGACGGTGGCTGCGCGCGGGATGCTGATACGTTTTGGCTGATAGTGGTTCTGGTAGACCCTTTGCCGCGGCGGCTTTGGAGAACCCTTGAATTGCGACGGGTAGGCATGGTTTGGTGAGGGAGGCTGCCCGGATGGGCGCTGTTGAAACCAATAGACTCATGATGAGCTATGATAGCTGATGCGATGCGATGTGATGCGATGCGATGCTCTATCGATGAGGATCACAGAACGTCAAGAGTAAGTACTAGCAAGGGTATAGTCTAGACAAGCAGATCGACAAACGTCGAAATCGAAAGGAAATAAATTTAAGTTGTAAGTCAGGTCATCGATGAGTGACATTTTCTTTCAGGTCTTTATAGTACCTACTTATACTCAATACAACATTCGACGGATCCGGAGCCAACACGAGCGGAACCACAACTAAGCCAGAAATTCTTTCAAGTCATCAGGAACCAGGAGGGCAAATCCCCTCGTAGACAGGACCCGATAGGACCCAGTAGGTCTTCAGCCACGGTGACTTGTAAGAGTGGGTATAGTTCGATGACCTCAACAAGCAGACGCCGATCGATCTGACTGGTGGGGTGCCTTAGGAACGGGACCCGGTGCCCTAGTTTTCTATATAATTTGGACATTCCCGCAAAGTCTATGACCGCTGCAACTGGACCCATGTTGGGTGCCTTGAATAGTAGACCTACTATTTAACACTCCAAGTGACAGCGATCTCAATCCTCTCCCCATTATCCATGTAGCAATGAATACCACTAGGATTTATTCGATTTTTTCATGGGGAGTATCCAAGGATGAGGTAATATTGGATTACGGAAATGGAAACGAGCAGGTGACCTCGGGAGAGATCGGGCTGCTCTGAGTCAACTCTCACGGGCTCTGCTTTGCCTTTCGGGCATCCCGAACGTTTGGACCGTTCTTCCGTCTTGATTGTAAGAAAATTCATTCACCGGAGGACGTATACTGTTTTCTTTGATTCTTCCTTCTCTGTTTTTCTTTTTGTTTTTCCGTGCGGGAAGTGGAATCCCTTCCGAGTGGCCATTCCCAGTGGCTGTAAGCGGATAGTACCATATATTATGCAACTGCACCATCGATAACTATGGGAAGAGAAAAAGCAAGACGCGCCGCCGGCGTCATCGACATATTCCATCGTTCATCTTGAATAATACCATTGTAGAAGCCACCACCATCACAGGTTTTCACCGGAATGTCCTTTGCAACGTACACAAGACTAGACGAGTAATGATTACCAATATCAACTTGATTGAGCCGGCGCATCAAAAGCAGACTCGGACGTCCTCATCACACCAAAGTGGCTCTCCCCTTCTCGCACATCCACCTCTCTCTTCTCCACCTTCACTACGTGGGCCATCCGCGGCCCTCTGTGGATATCTTTGAGCCAGCTCTGCAGGGACTCGCTGTCCCCTTGGGCTTCGCCTTCGACCTGTAGATTAGTAGAGGGTTAGTGGTGACTCTGCCAGGGGATAGAGTAATAGAGTCTACGTACTCTCCCGCAGCTGGTGTTTTTCACGAATCCTTTTAGGTCATGATGTGTGGCTCGTTTTTGGGTAAAGTCGCTGATGTTGATCAGTTTCATAATCTGGTTAACTGTGAGTCGGAGGGTTCTGACCGGAATCCGACGCCTGGATGGGACAACGATGTTAGAGACATGAGCGTTTCAACCAAAGTTCATATCGCGTATGACCAAGTATTTGCCTACCTTGCACCGTCCCGTGGACTTTGTATGCGATCTGGACGTGTTAGTGAGACTCGAAGTGTATATGCGAACCCGACGATGTGCGGAGAACTATAGCGAATGCAGACGATGAACGTGAACTGGAGGGACAGGGCCATACCCGCTGAGATGACATATTTGATGGTGAGGCTTTGTGCAATACCTGTATCTATCCGTCTTACCTCACACAACTATCTGGTAAGAGAGATGGACAAGATGGTGTTGATAATGAAGTCATGCTGGTTAGTCAACCAGGCTATCCTTCCCGATATAGATTTGACCCAATCGGGCAATGGCCGCCAAGACTTCCGTATTGGGCAGAGGAGCTGATTCAGCTGTCAACTGGCGGACTCAGTAGGAGCCTGAGGTTGATGGCATCGATCAACCTTGGATTTCAGGTTGATGATCGTTAGGATGGAGGTATAAGATGATCAAAATAGTCGGATCGTCTTATTGTTTCCAGCATATTCAAGTCCCAGCTGACAATTGAATCTATTTCGGTCCTCCGTCAGCTCCACCGGGGCAAACCAATGACGGACCTTCACTGTCATCCCCCCTGACCCAATGATTCTCTCTCCACAATCTCACGAACCCACCTGTCCATCTCTCACCACCGCCGGTCTTGCTCCGCATTCATTATCTCTTGAGGGGCTGGCTACGCGATGAAGTGCTAAGATGACCTTCTCAATGCTGGCATGGTTCCGGCAATTATACTCCCTTGATACCCTCGACACGCGTTTCACGGCGTCTGCAAACACCCCTCTCAAGGCCGCCGCGGATTCTCGCCCGTCCAAAGATGCCCGCGCAAACAGCGTAGCCAACAATGCGGCTCCCTCCAAATGGGGGACGCTCGAGTTTTATGTTTACTATGTGGTATTCCTCTTTGCGATACCGTGGATGTTCAAATCGGTGATTGAGGTCTCTCAAGGTAGGGTCCCTTCGCTGGGAGGAGATGGGCGGAAACTAATACACGTCTTAGAAAGTCATCCTACCTATGCGACTTACGCCAATCTGCTGTCTGATGGCTGGATATTTGGCCGTAAAGTGGTGAGTCAAGTCCAGATATACATATTACTTATTCCAGACTAATTCCATGGTGTGTTCTTAGGACAACTCCGATGCGCAATATTCAGGCTTCCGCGATAACGTTCCCTACCTCCTGATTCTCCTGGTGGCTCACCCGGTGCTTCGACGCGTGTACGAACTTTATACCAACCCTTTTGACACGGACAGTCCGAAAGAGAGCTCCACCGCCATCAGCGGAGATGTCAGACTCCGTCAGCGGGTGACTTTCGACCTCTATTTTGCGCCGATCTTCCTGTTTGCGCTGCACGGTATATCTGCCCTCAAAGTCCTAGGGATCCTGTATACCAACTACAAGATCGCTAAAACCCTTCCGAAGAAGTATATCCCCGCCGCAACATGGGTGTTCAACATTTCGACGCTGTTCGCCAACGAGCTCTGCCAGGGTTATCCTTTCGAGCGCGTCGCAGCTCTGTTCGTTTCTCCAACCGGTCCCGAGGGGCACGAGGCAGCCTTGGTACTGTGGGGTCGATATCTCGATAGCTTTGGTGGCTTGCTGCCTAGATGGGAAATCCTCTTCAATATCACGGTCTTGCGACTGATCAGCTTCAATATGGACTACTACTGGAGCTTCAATTACCCGTCATCCAGCCCCATCGAAGTAAGTCATTCCCCGCAACATACGACGTCCTCAATCTAACAAACATAAGAAGAAACAACTCGATCCAGCCTCGCTGTCCGAACGCGACCGCATCACCATCCCCGCAGAACCGTCCGCCTTCAACGGCCGCCACTACCTCGCCTACACCCTCTACGCACCGCTCTACCTAATCGGCCCGATCCTCACCTTCAACGACTACATCTCGCAACAGCGACACGCCCCCATATCTCTCACCAAATCCCGCATCATCCTCTACGGCACCCGCGTCCTCCTCACCATGCTTTCCATGGAGATGATCCTCCACTTCATCTACGTCCAAGCCATCTCGAAAGCCTCCCCCAACTGGTCCTCCTACACCCCAGGCCAACTAAGCATGCTCGGCTTCTTCAACCTGCACATCATCTGGCTCAAGCTTCTCATCCCCTGGCGCTTCTTCCGCCTCTGGGCCCTCGTCGACGGCATCGATCCCCCAGAGAACATGGTCCGCTGCGTCTCCAACAACTACTCCGGCTTCGCCTTCTGGCGCGCCTGGCACCGCTCCTTCAACCGCTGGATCATCCGCTACATCTACATCCCTCTCGGTGGTGGCCGACGAAGTGGAGACTCCTCTAAGCCCGCATCCCCTCTCGCCTCCACAGCCCGCCAGATCTTCAACTTCCTCGTCGTCTTCACCTTCGTCGCCCTCTGGCACGATATCAACCTCCGTCTCCTCATGTGGGGCTGGCTCATCACCCTATTCATCCTCCCTGAAGCCATCGCCACGCTTATGTTCCCTGCTCGCCGCTGGCGCTCCCGTCCGACTGCCTACCGCGTCCTCTGCGGCGTCGGCGCCGTCGGCAATATCCTCATGATGATGATTGCCAATCTGGTTGGGTTCGCCCTGGGGATTGATGGCTTGAAAGGCTTGCTGTCTGGCATGCTGGGGTCGTACTCGGGACTGGCCTACCTTGTTGCTGCGTGCGGGGCTCTGTTCGTCGGTGTTCAGGTGATGTTTGAGATAAGGGAGGAGGAATTACGCGCGGGTGTTAATATGAAGTGTTGATTGTTGTTGATTGTTGCTTTGTTGATTATAGTACATGCATAGCTAGAAAGATCCTCCATCATGTTGTATAGATATGTTATTAAGATATAGTATTCATTGGTATCGTTATAATGGTATCTGCTATTCTGTTCGTCCCTGTAGAGCGAACTCGAGCGGACTCGTACATATTAGTTTAATCACGGTCTGGATAAACAGAAAGCCCTCCCCGGGCACTTCCAGATACTGGCGCAGATATATAACCGCAGGGATCCCATCAACCTGACCGGTTCCGATAAACCCAACAAAAGCGGGTGTTTGGAGCCAGGTCGACCCAGCCCTCCGCCTGCTGAATGCGAGAGAACCAGTATCTCTCAGCGAAAATGATGTCCCCCGCGCGCTGTAACTTCGGTTCCAGCAACATACAGCATATGCGCTGCTGGTGAGGCGCTGGCGTAGCCGTCCGCTACTTATGCGATGAGACGATATCCGTGTCGTGACGCATCGACGAAGAATAGCGGGCGTGTAGGCTTCCCCGTATACGTCTACACATATATGTATACACCCATAAAGACACAATCGATGGTGTCGAAGAAACTCGCCCAATTCCAGCGAAGTACTTCGACATCACAAGCGCAGCATAAGCCACTAGAAGAACGCCCCACACCTCGAATCCTCATGAACCTTATAACAATCAAGCCCACAAGTCCGCTGATGACAGTTCTTGCACCTGATCTTGCCCCAGTACCCGCACATGCAGCAGAAGCGGCGCGGCGATTTATTCGTCAGGGGTGGGCCGGCGCGCGCGGCGTGGTAGGATAGAGGTGGTTCGGCGAGGAGGGCTTGCATGATGCGGTCGGAGGGCGCGGAGGGGATGTATGAGCGGAGGAGGGGGTCGTTGTCGTGTTCGGATGTTATAAGTTTTGCGGGGTTGGGGCTGGGGTCGGAGTCTGGTTTGTTGCTTTCGCCTTCCCCGCCGCTCCCGCTGCCATCTGTGGGGGCTGTTGTGGTGGTTGTTGGGACTGTGCTGGGTGTTGCTGGGGTGGTGTGTTTCTTTTGGCGGAAGGAGGCCGGTTCAGGCTTTGAAGCCGTCGCAGGCGTGGAGCTCCGTCTGGAAGAAGAGGGTTTTGTGAGTCGGGATAGTTGCGCCGGAGCGGGACGCTGGGTGGCGGTTTGCGCGGCCTGGGCCTGAGCGGCTTCTTCGTCGTCAAGGTGATTTCGAAAGGTTTTTTGCGATTGGAGGATCCGGCGCACGTTGGATGTTACTTTGCCTCTCGTTCCTGCGTTTGATGCGGATGTTAGTTACTTGAACCTTTTTTCTTTTTCTTTGTCTAGTGAGATGAAAAGTCGAGGGTTAATGAAGACTAACCTCGGCCGCTGGCATCCTTCTGCTGCTTCACCGGAATGGGAATGCTGACGTCCTTGTGATTTTCCCGATCCAGCTCTGCCAGATGGCGCACGATGGCGTTGTTCTGTCGCGAGGAGAGGTCGGCGCGTCCTGGGTCGCGAATTCCTCGCTTCCTACCTACGGCGGGCGTGATGGCTGCCTTGGCTGGGTCGAAGCCCCTGTCGCGTCGGTCTGGGACGTAGGTCCATCCCGGGGTTGCGTGCGTTGAGGAATTTGGGAGGAGTTCGATGGAATACATGGTTTCCCCTGAAATGGCAGGTCGGAGTTGAAGACTGGAGTGGTGGACGGTCTTAGGTTATCGGAGGAGGGATTTGGATGGATCGCCGAGTCCGTGTTTGGCTTGTTTGCACCCAATGACGCAGCGCCACAATTATACGAAGATCGATATACGCTATAATCAAATGAATTCTGCGAGAAAGAACACTGTCTGTTTGATAGGACAATCTGTACAGTAAGACCCAAGTAACGTGTCCATATCACTTTTTCCAAAAAATCGCCCCTATCGGGGAATGGCAAGTAGAGGACATGCTAAAATCCCAAAACAGCAACCTAACGCCATGAGATGAACAAAGGGAAATGAAGTTTCGCAATGCCGTAGCTTTCGGCGTTTCATTTCTTCTTAAGCTGGTCCACCTTTGTTTCCAATTCACCGATATAGGTCTGTAGCTTTAGTGTCGCTGATTGGAGAGCCTGTGTGATATTAGCGTTAGACCACATGCAATACTGCCGCTGCAGAATTCTCATCGCAATAGGAATGAGACTGTTGATGCGAACTGAGAATCCCAGAGAAAGCAAAGTGAAGTAACATTATACAAAGGCATACACAGAAAGCAGGGAAGGAGAGAAAGAGAGGAGGGACGAAGAAGAACAAAACACAGGAACGAAATCATCACATACATCGATATCCTCCGACAACATCTCATTCGACACCCTGTACTCCCCCAAAATATAGTAATAGACCGCCGCACTGGCAGCAACAGTCCCGGCCAGGAAGCCAAACAGCCTATGCCAAGAAAAGATCACAGGTCAGCCAACACCACAAGTCAGAGCACTTAGGCTGCATGGTACAGCCACAAACATGAGCAACCTACCCTCCTCGAAATGCGCCCACAGGCTTCTTAGCAGGCAGCGCAGAACTCGCTACATCCCGCGTCGGCAGCGAGGTAGAGAAGCTCCTCCGCATCGGGGAGAAGGAGGGCAATACACGCCGAGACGCGGCGACGCGTACACCAGGAAGCATCATCACGCGCGAGACATTCATTATTTATGTGAAATCCACGGATCTGGAGATGGAGTCAGTGGGGACCATGATATGAGGCTTGATATAGAATAAAGTGGCGTTCTTACTGTTGATAACGTGCGGAGGAGGCGAAAAGGTAGGGATGTGGGGAGAGCTACGGATGACGGAGCCTGAGGCCCGTGACGTTGGGCCTGCCCGTTCGGGACGATCGCCGTGGCCAATCAGGGCTCGTCAATCCGACTATACAGTATTGTGCCTGCCTGAGGTTGGGTACCTGTGTCCATGTTTCTATTTTGTTTCTTCTACTGGTGATGTTTGATCTATGGCAAAAATTCGATTGAAGCTAATGAGATGATTGTTATAAATGACCGCTTGTTAAACCAACTACACAACGCGAAAAAAAAAAAAAAAGACGTTTGCAAACATGCCAGCGAGCTACCAAGGTCCAACAACCTATAGTAAGTACAATCATAACCAGAGCTGACAAGAACAGCTAGACCCCCTAGTGAGCCATAGTGCTCTCGTTGAACAAATCCGCCAACAAATCATCAAGACATGTCTCCAAGCTGGGCCGGCCCATGCTGTAAGTGCTCTCATACGCACGAATGCTGAGCTGGTCGAAGAACGGCCGCAAGACACGCTCAATGATCTCGTCTTTGGCGACGTCTCGGATCCAGTCGGCTGTGAGCGCTGGGTTCTTCACGTTCCGGTCTATATCGGTCGTTGGCTCTGCTGGTGTGTCGGACGATGGCGACGGTCGCGTCCCTAGGTTCTGCGACACTTCGTCCACTAGTGCCTTCGAGTCCCAGTGCTCGGGCGGGTAGACGGCGTCGACAGTATCCGTGACAAATAGCCATTCGACTAACTGGAAATCATCCGGAGTGAGGACGAGTAATGTATCCAGTAGCTTGCAGGCTTGGAGCAACGAGTATGGGCTGTAGACTTCTTGCTGAGCACCAAGGGGTATGGCGGAGAGCGCCTCCTGGAGTTCCGTGTTGATCAGCGGCCAGAAAGGCCCCAGCGCAGTGGTTGAGCTTTTCAGTGCCAGGGCTCGAAGAACCATGAAAATCTCCGCCCTGGTCGTCGACGACGGTGATGACGAGCTTGTCGCTCCAAGGAGGTCTTCCAGCTTCTGGAGAAGACCAGGGAGCTCACCCATAAAGTAATCGTCATTTGACGAGAGGATGAGGAGCGCGATCCTGCGAAGGTTCAATTGCGCCTTGCGGTCGGCATCCAGGCGTGCTGCAGAGGCTCCGACGCCAAACATGATCCCCGCCGTGCTGGGCGGCGGAAGACGACCCAGCAACTCGGTCAGCCGTTCCTTATCAGCGAGAACCCATTGCCGCAGGAGGTTCATCCAGCCGTCTTTCACCAGCTCAACGTGCGAGTTGAAGAAACGGGGGTCATTGAAGGCCTCGGCTATATCCTTCTTCCAGACTTTCGCGGTGCCTTGAGCCCTCACAATGTGTTGGAGGAGTGTCACGAAGTTGCGGTTGAGGTTGTTCGGGAAAAGCCGAGATCGCAGGAGCGGCCCGATAACGTTGGTTGAGATCCCACTCACGGCTGTGTTGATCCGATCGGAGTCGCCTAACGTGGTTGTAAATGCGGGCATGGAGACAGCGAGGATGCTAAGGATGTCATCGGGACCAATGTGCGTTGCCAATGTATGGTCTAAGTCCTGAGACGTCCGGCTCAAAAGGTTCGACTCCTGCGACAGCCCCATGGGCTTACTGGTAAAGATGGCCGTGAGCAATCGTAGAAGTACATCCTAGAAATCGTTAGCATAAGGTCATATGGTAGGAAGACAACTAAACATACTCCTAATTCCTTTCGCATTCGCCGGTCTTCGCCAAAGTTCGTGTTCTCCATCTTTGCCCCGAGGATTGCGGCGAATTCGACCAAGCGAGGAAGGATTTGCCTATGTGGGAAGGGGTTGCTCAACACATCACGCAGGAAAGTCGTGCAATCCGCCCAGATCTCATCTAGCACGTCATCATCAAGCGACCTGGCATAAGTCACAAGAAATCCGGCGAGTTCACCCTCGGTGAGACTCGAGGTCAGCGTGGATTTGCGGTTCGCGTCGAGTGCTGCCGGATTCGTTCTGGTATAAATGGCATTGAAAATAGCCGGAATGGTGATCTTTGGCCGGGAACCATCCAGAGTGTGAAGGAGACCGAAGATCAGAGTCAGAGTCTCGGAGTCCGACTTGGTCCACATCTCGACAAGCGTTTCAAGACACTCAAGAGCCTCTGCCGTGAAGAGATGCTCGAGGATACGACGCGACCTGTTTCTCATGCGCAGCGACGTATACTGGAAGGATGCCAAAGACTCTGCATCTTGGGGCAAGTTGCTTTTCTCGCCTGCGCCCCAGGACCATATAGAAAAGCACAGCCGCACCGCATCCTGGAAGCAGAGCAGAACGGTGAGTCTATTGTTGGCTGCCGCTGAGCGCGGTTGACCCGTATCGGAGTTGTATACGGCCGAAACCATGTTCCCAAAGAACCCTTGAGTTTGGTCCGGACTCTTAGCAGCAGGTGTATGTGACTCCTCCACAATGAGACGTTCGTGGGCACTCGCGATGCAATTCTCAAGACCAGTAAGGAGTGCAATAGTGGCATGCTCCGACCGATCCTCGGGCCAGCTCTCTGTCTGCTTGAACAAAAGCTGGAGGTTCGTATAGGAAAGCCGTATCTCCCTACAGAAACACTCCACTAACATCAACAGAATTTGAAAGAGCGATCCAGTATATAGAGGTAGCACTTCACACAGCAATACCGTCCATTTCTCTACAATCTCTCTAGAGTTGGGAGAGCTGATGCCTTTGAGAAGGCAATCTAAGAGATTGTTGGGTGGCTGGGGCAAAGTGGGTGGTGCCGGAGACTTTTCTGCCTTGTCACTTGTGAAAGACAGTATCGATGGGCTTGTTAACCGATCGCGAGAGTTTGCTCTATGGTGTTTAGGTCTTGGGGGCGGGGGAGGCAAATAAGCTTGGGCGAACCGGACCTTGAGTGCTGCAAGAAGGGTGTCTATCAGTGCCCCCTGGACGGGAATACTGCCCTTCTCATCGAGGGCAGCTGTCAGACGATCAACAAGCAGTGCGTCGATTCCTGAGTCCACAACCTCATCGGCCCCTGGGCCCAAAAGAAGTTGGCGCATGACAAGCAGCGAGGTTTGATAAAGCTTAACCTCCTCCATACCATCCTTGGCCGTAGCCGTGGTCTGTCCGCTTACTACCCGCAATGATGCCTGGAAAATGACGGCATGGATGCTTGGGGTCTGGGAGTTATCTGCGAGTCGTTGTAAGCGTGAGAGAGAGCACAGGCGACTGGGAGAGGAACTTACCCTCTGAAGCGGAAACCTCGTGATGCCTGTCGACTGGAGACAGTGATTCTGTCATGAGAGCCACCCATCCATTATGAGAAAGCGCAGAAACAACATTGTATATTGTTTCTAACAGGTAGTTGCACTCCTTGTAATCATCGCCACATATAGACGGGTTTTCACCGCCAGTTGAAGTTTGGTCGGCCCGCAAAAAGAGACTTTCGAGCCGTGAAACTACTATACGAAACACTCTGGCGATGGAATAAGCATTGTGGCTGGTAGGAATATTAACGGAAAGAGGCTGACTTACTTGTGAATGGATGACAGATCGTGGATCCAACGATGGGCTATCTGTGACGTCTCATTCGACTCCTCATATAATAAGTCTAAGACGATGAACAGAGGCCGCTCAAGCATGGAAGCATGATAAGAGTATTGCGACTTGGCCGCATCATGGACGTGTTTCGGTGGAAGTTCATACGTTCCATGATGACTATGAGTCCACAAGACAAAGTATCTTCCTACTTGCTCTTCTGACGACAGCTGGCGAGACCCAGGGGACGAGGAGTCAATCATAAGGGATGTGATCGATGCCTCAACAAGATGGTCCTTCCAAGAGGCCGAATGCAAATTCCACAAGCAACGAACGGCCTCGACATGGAATTTGGGACTCAAGGGTGAAAGGAATGCCCAAAGCTGTCTCACCAGAATTGGGATCAGATCAGAGACGTCCTCATAGCCGATATAGAGCCCAACTTTGTGGATAAAATACAACTTTGTCACGGCGGACGAAATTGAGGATATGACAGAAAACGAGGCAGTAGAAAGCTCAACTTGATGAGCATGAACTCGTTCACAAATCGCCATGTAAAAGCGCCTATCACGCAGAACACGCGATTTGGGCAGCTTTTTGAGCAATACCATGAAGAGATTCACCCTCTCATGCGTTCGCGCATCATTGGATGTATTTTGCAGAGCTGATATGGCCAATTCGTGCGCTTTCTTGATCATCATTTCTGCCAGCTGTCTAGGGTGAAACGGTGGCTGGGGCAAGTCCAGACGATTTTTGCTCTGGTAATAGAAATCATGGATCTTTTTTAAGACCTCGGCATTCACGGGGTCTGAGGAGGAGTTGGCTGCCTGTGAATTCGATCTTCTGCTGAAAGCCCTCTCAGTAAGCAGCCCAGTCAGCGAGTGCATTATCTTCGACAGCTTGTTTGCTACCTGCGAACTTTGGTCTCGGGTCAGAGTAGTATGGTCTCCAACAGGTAACTCGCCCATTTTCATCAGGACGGTGAGTGCGAGCAGAGGAACATGTCGAGTAACCATCTCCTCTTCTCGCACGTTGAAGTTGGTGAGTATGAAATGTGCAAGAGTTAAGTCGCTCGCAACCGACTCCACATTGTGGCTCAGGTCCTCGGTTTTCCAGTCCACCAAGCGAACGAGCTCGGAGAATATCACAGAACTCTCGACACCGTCAAAAAAGGCACTCGCGCTGCGGAAAACCTCTTCAAATCGAGCCTTGGACGCCGTATCTTCGAATGTTTGGACCTTCCGTATAATTGGTAGAAAGATCTCTGGAATAACATGCCCGCCGACTTCCCATCGGTCCATCAACGCAAGAGATATGCGGAATGGCTTGGTCGTCCCGGGGGAAGCGGTCGAGTCCTGCTCGACCATTTGCAGAAGGCCATCAGTCAAGGCTTTCAGTCCAAACCGGCTGAAATATTCAGACTGGGAAAGCAACCCGCTATCAGCCGACTGGTCGGCGCCGTCGGATGTCGAATTGCGACGCTCGTAGGAAGACTGATCGGTCGCTGCATCAGGCCCCAGGAGCCAAGACCACAGTCGGCGATTCAAGCTCATGTCACGCCGAGTGACAACTCCGATTGCTGCAATGACCAGCCTCTGGAGATCATCACTTACGATCCGCGACTGCAGTATCGGGGAGCTCAATGGCAGGTGAGTGACCAACAGGTCAAGGAAATTTCGCTGCACGAGGACTTGCTCATCTAATAGGCCCGACGCGAAACATCGAATCAGTAGACCGGGCTCTGGCTGTACGACCGAATCGACAGCCGCTAGCATGTCTTGTGACATTTCCGATGGATCGCTTGTTTCACCCCTACTTGGCCTCCGGTCCGTGACGCCCAGTTTGGGGAGACATCGATTCAGATAAGCCAGCGCACCGGATCGCCTGCTAGGGCTCGTGATAGATGCCAGGAAGAGACACTGCCAGAAGTATTGTCCCTGTGAGACTACTTCAGTTCCAGCCTTCTGGGTATCCATTTTACTCGCAATGTCGCGGAATTTATTGATAAGTCGGAGGGTCGGTTCGAAATCATCACTCGTTTCTTCCTCGAGCCCTGGCAGAAGGGATAGGAGGATCGCCTTCAAGGCCGGTCGAATTGCCCATGCTTCCACGGTACAAATGTAGTTTTCCACCAGAGACAGGAACAGCGGACGGACCGTAAGCGAAGCGAATGTTAAGGTGGGCGCAATCCCTGGAAAGTATAAAGGCAGGTCGTGTGAAAGTCCTTCCGGCTAGATGGACACCATGCAACGTCAGCAGACGCACTTCGCGGAGGAATAGCGCTTATCTTGACCTTGATCAAATTGAAGACGAACGTATACACTTCCAACGCCTTCTGATGGACGCCCGACGGCAGCGAGGGGTTCAGGCATTGCGACAATCGTTTCGACACGAGCACCTTATGGGGGACAATCGATATATCCGGCGGATGAGATTGCAACGCCTAATCACTGTCCTATTAGCTCAATTCCATCACGCATCCGAATGCTGACGGTATCCCACCTTCAATAGTCGACTGAGGAACGAAATATAGTCGGCCCACTCCTGCAGGGCGGTATCAAACAACGAAAGGGCTCGTTCAACATTGTAGGCATAACGACGATAGTTCTTATCCTTCTTCAGCGGTTCTGCGCAGAGACGTTTATGTTGGTCAGAGTAATATCCCAATTTCAAAAAGTGTAGAGCATCAGGACAGGGGGAGTGATTGCGCACCTTCTTTACCCCGTAAGCGGGAGCGCGTGAAGGAGCTCTCCGAGCTTGCGGGGGAGTCTGACCTCGGAAGGCCGGGTTCGAGGCTCATGGTGTGGACGGAGATATGTCGATCGTAAAGCTAAAGACTATGCGCAGGAAATCTCTCGTCATGGTTTGTTCATTGGTGTAGATAGGGAGGTGCCGGTGCCTGTAATCCGTTATGGACACGAAGAGGCGGAGGTGTTGAAACGACCGACCGCCCGCATCTGGAGCTCCGACGCGGGAGGATCTTTGTACACTCCCTCGCATCCCCACTCGTCCACCCTGACGTCTGTCAACCACCCTCTACACGAGCTATGCGTCTCCAACGATCGCTGGAGATATCAGACTTACTTTCGACGATGCTTTGCGCCACTTGAACTCGGTTCGCTGATTTACAAGAGACCACGACTACCGGAAACGTTTTGTCAATGCGCGCGGCCGCCCAAGGGCCATGGATTCCAAAGCCGAGCCCAAAGCTCAGGGCTCACGAAGCGACGCTTCAAAAGGACCGAATGACGGCGGATTAGAAGTCGTTGAGGCGCGACCGATTGACTCTGGTAGTGAAGGCCGCAGCGCAAGCTCCGAAGGATCTCCGCCGCCACTGCCCCCGCGCCCGAACACGTTAGGCTTGTTGGATGAAGGAGGCGCATCTCTACGAGTGCCACGGAGTACAACGCAATCGAATCTACAGTCGAAGGCCACGACCGCTGTATCGCTCACGGATATCGGCTCGAACAGCGGAGGGAAGGAGAATAACCACGCCCACGGGTTAGCCGAGAACCTGAGGGCGAAGGCAAGCCTCAGTCATATAGCCAGCTCAAGGGCGAGTGAAACAGGCGATTCTGCGAGCATCCGAAGCTCTATCCCGCATGCAGATCCTGGAGAGGCCGATCATGTCTTTAGCGATTTTGTCGTGTCGGATGAACCGGTTGTGCAGCAGGATAGCTCAGGGTTGCTCCGATTCCCGGAGTTTCAAGCCGACGATGTAGAGGACGGGTTCGCGAGCGAATTCGAGTCGGTAGGCAACGTGGAAGAGGACGGTAATAATGAGGGTGTGTAGATTCCGTAATATATTGTTTTGTTCACACGCTGATCGTTTGCTCGATTCTAGAATTGGTTCTTGCGAGATGGCAAGCCAAGCAAAAGCATTATATCATCCTTTCTGCTGCCGGGAAGCCAATATGGACAAGACATGGTGATGGTGGGCTAATATCGACGTATGTCGGCGTCATCCAGACCATCATCTCGTTCTACGAGGACGCCCATGATCATCTAAGTAGCTTCACTGCTGGGGACACCAAGTTCGTGGTCGTGACCAAAGGGCCACTATACCTGGTAGCTATCAGCCGGGTCCTTGAGAGCGACACCCAACTCAAGCTGCAACTCGAAGCCCTGTACATGCAGATTTTGTCTACGTTGACTTTGCCGTCTTTGACTCACCTCTTTTCCGTCCGTCCATCTACAGATCTCAAACGGCCCTTACAGGGAACCGAGAGTCTACTCTCTACGCTGGCAGACAGCTTCACCAAAGGATCGCCATCCACTCTCTTCTCAGCCCTTGAATGCTTGAAACTCCGAAAAGCTCACCGCCAAAAGATCAATAGCACACTTCTCAAAGCCAAGGTCAGCAGTCTCCTATACGGTTTAGTGGTTGCCGGCGGCCGTCTAGTCAGCGTTGTGCGCCCGAAGAAACACTCATTACATCCCGGCGACCTCCAACTTCTATTCAACATGATTTTCGAAGCAGACGCCGTAAAGGCAGGCGGGGGCGAGAGCTGGATCCCGGTTTGCCTACCGGGTTTCAACAGCAGTGGCTATCTCTACATGTATGTCAGTTTCCTCGATCTTCGAGAGAACGCGGGCGACAATTCCGACGACACAACGACGAAAGAAGAGTCTGTTGCCATTATCTTGATCAGCACGAACAAAGAAAGCTTCTTCGATCTACAGGAGATGAGAAACAATTTTGTAGAGGTAGGAAAATCTTTATCTTGCCCAGCCCAAATCGCTAATTTTCTCCCCCCAGCAACTGGAAAACAACGGTAGCTTGAAGGTCATAAGAGAGGCCGTCGAGAAAGGCCGACCCGCTACAACCGACATCGTCCCGGGGACAGTCCTCCACCATTTCCTGTACAAATCTCGCGCAAACGTGCAGTTCAGCATGTCGGCCTACGACCTCGAATTCTCCTCCGTCTCTCGACGTCGCAGGTTAGTAGTAGCCCCGCGTCCTGAGAACTAGCTAGCTTGCTATGTATGCAGTTGACTGAAACACAACAGACTCATGTCTACATACAATAATCTCCACGCAAGCATCCATGCGAAATACACGCACGTCAAAGTCCACCACTGCGTGTCCCAGTCATCAACGTCCTTTGCGTGGGTGACTCCCGTGTTTGAGTTCTACTGCGTGGCTGGTCCACACGCGAATAGAAACGCACTTGCTCAGAGTGCGAGCAAGATTGTGCAGTGGGTGGAGCGCGAAGAAGAGAGGCTGTTTATTATTGGTGGTGCAGTAAGTGTTTTGTTTTACTTGTACTCTAAGTGGATCTTGTCTAATGGTGTATCTACGTATAGGTTTTTTAGCTTGCTTGTGCCGTTTATTTTGTCGAAGTTGGATATCGATATATTTTAGATATCTGTCTTTGCTTATAGAAATATAGGGACATCTGCATATGCCATAGCGCGTATTGACACTCACGGGTTTGGAAATATAAAAGAATCCATGAAGTAACGTCTTTTGAGACGTCCGATGCAATAGCGGCCAGAAGTGCGAGGAGGCGCTTAGTCGATAGTATCATCCCGCAGCGCAAAGAGCTGCCTTATAAGCTCATCCGGCTTGGCACGGATAGCATTATGATACATGACGTTTGTGATGAACTGCTTGGTCCCCTTGATCTTCGAAGCGGTGTTCACAGAGTGGTCGAAGTGCACATACATATCGTCTACGAAGGTCGCAGCGTAAACGGGGACCTCGTTCTTTGCTAGCTGCTTCTCGTCGTAGAGAGCCGGCCAGTCCGTCGTGGTTGCGAGGATGTCTGCTGCCTCTTTGATGCTGTTCAATTCGGTGTATGAGTCGAACATGTCTTTGTATATCTGCAGTGTGTTCTTGTCAGCGCTGATTAAAGTGCTTTGTATGCATGTATGGATGGAGAATGCTCACCATCTCGCCGGTGAAACAGATCTCGGGATGATCGGCATTGAGGTGGAATTGTGAGTTGGCTGCGCGATATCTATCGGCGGACCAGTTTGAGGCTCGTCTGTCCGTTGTCAGTGAATGCAGTTCCTTTGAGATTATATGAATGGGGCCCCCACCCCTGGCAGTAGATTGCTTCGTGCAGAATGGCGTAGATGACATTTTGGTCTTGGCCACCATAGCTGTCGATGGAGGTCAGGGTAGGGTGTGTGAAGAAACCGAAGGTCTCCAGGTCATTCCAGGCACGATAAACGAGCTCTGGCATGGGTGGTTAGCTTGAGAACCTCATCTGTCTCGTTGGGGACGTTGTCACACTACCATGGACGCTGTCAATGCCACCTGTGAACCGTCAGCAAGTCTGTAGCGAAAGAATCCCAGTGAAATTGCTCATCTTACCATGCATACCAAAGCTGATACCCAGCTGCTGGAATCTTTCGGGCGACAAGGTCCCCGACGGCAGGGTAACCTGGTTGTCCTTCAGGTATTGAACGATTTGCTTCACACGCGCAACGTCCTCGGGGAATTTAGCGTAGTAGTCTTTGTTTCGCTGTGCCACCTTCTCTGTTGCGTGTCAGATTTGACGTAGAAACTTCCTTCATAGCTCATACCATAAGTCTTCGCATAGACAGGATCTGGCTCGTTCACCAGCGGGGGAAGTCCACCACAAATGAACGCTTCAGCCAATCCTTCTGGACTATGAGATGTCAGTAAACGGGATTGGGTTTTGTGTACACTGGGGTTCGGTCCACTCACAATAAGGAAAGATAGGTTCCGATACAGAAACCGCCAAAACTCTGGCCAATCACGCTCCATTTGCGTTTGTCTTCGGGATAGTCAGTGGTGAGACAGCGGCGGACAGCTTCGCAGTCTCGAACAATGTTGTCCGCGCGGAAATTTTTGAGATACTCTGCCTGTTTGATCGCATTTCCTTGGAGAGCCAGCGTGCCGGCGGTGATGGTGGAGCTGAGACCCGTGCCTCGCTGATCCAGAAACAGGACCTACGTGAAGGATTAAGTGACTGGTTTCCCACCTCTTATGTATGTTATACAATTCCACAACCGGAAAAAGCTTACCTGATACCCCCTTTCGAGGACCGTTCCGACCCAGCCATACTCCTGCGGGGGCCTGCAGCCCATCCCCGGGCCTCCCTGCAGATAGACCAACCACGGGAGTTGTTTCTCTTCCTTGGTGGACTCAACCGGCGTCACCAGACGACGCACGCTCCGGGCGAACAGTCTGAGAGTGCCTTCATTGGGCTTATTGTAGTTGACTGGAACGTCGAAGAGTAGCTCTGCCACGCGGAGTTTGCCTGTGTCTCATGTCAACATTATTGGTTTCTACCCAGCCCTGTTTAAGCCATGTATTCCCTGAAGAGACGCATACCGGGGACATTGTGAAGCTGTTTATCGATCAACTTTGCAGCCATTGTGAGTAGTTTGTTCTCGTGCTGGACCGATCACGGTGCTGACGGCGATGGGAAGAGAAGTAGAAGAGGGATTAGCGGGGAGTTGATGCCGCGCGATCAGCACGGGTAAGTTCATTCGTGGCTACTACCATACTACTTCCGTCCTGACCCCTCCATCCATATCAACCATTTTCTATTTTTCTACGTCTGGCTTATATTGACGACGTTCAGCCACGTAATTGATCATATTCAAATTGCAATTTCGAAATGATGATAAGCGAGTGGGTTCTGGTACAAATATACCACGGTGAACAGGTCACCTGATCGTACCCATTTGGTCACCTACCTATGCAGCTGTATTTTCATCATCTCTATCTTTATATCATCAATATCATCGTTTGAATCCTTCTTCAACTAGTACCTTCCAGTGGGTCCGGTTACTGTGGAGTTCATGAAATATACAAACCAGCCAGTGTGGCTCTATGTATTGGTATAGTTGACTCAGCATCTGCATTACGGCCGGCTAACTACTGAGCATAACAGTTATGAACCTACCTGAGGCAACTAACCTTCTACATGAATCAAGTATCAAGTATGTATTCTACATGAGTTCTGAACGGGTTTTCGATAGTCTCCATATAGGGGTTATTTGAGTTCTAAATCTGACTTGTCTTGAAAGAAATTGGAGGAGAGCTGATCCATCATCTCAATTATAAAAGATGAATATATGGTGTCAACTTGGAAATCCACACATACTCTATGGGTCGTATCTAACGCAGACAGCAGCTGGTAGGATTTGACGAAATTTCTCAGACTGAACATTAACAGTAATCAGTAACTATTGAATAGCCTGCAGGGGTTATGACGGTTGTCGAAGGGCATCTCGGACACTATAGACCATGATGATCCCCATCCCTTAATTAGTACCTCCAACAGTGACCCTTGCGTGCAGGACAGGGTATTTTTGGCTTGGGCTATATATTCTATTCCATTTTCTACTGTGACTTTCAGACAGCGGCTTTGGACTGTTTTATATGCAAACGCGCACAGAAAAAATGACTATGGAAACCGTCGCGCAAGACCTTGGTGGTGGGAGAAAAATGCCGTGCGGATGGCGATCCTCGAGAAATTTCGTTATCTGTGTGGTTTGTTTTGCAGGAATGACGGTATGGCTATCTTGTTCTGTCATCTGACGCACAAGTCAGAGAGTCCTGCCGATGATAATCGACTTTAGGACATGCTACTTTACGGATTGGTTAGGGTGCCCACGGCGAACCCATTCATGGACCCTACGGTACTGATACTTCCAGATTGTGCCCATTGTTCCGACAGCTCTCCATGAGAGAGTCAAGCTATCTCAGGGAGAGGGTAAGTGTTTTCATCGACAGATACTCGTGCCCAAAGTACTGATCGATAATCTCCCCAGAGCAACGGTGGACGTCGATTCTTCTCGCGCTACACGGAGCAGCAATGACCATAGTGTCTCGTGAGTTTTGACCCTCCTCGCTGGAATGAAAACCCTTGACGCGGTCACAATGTAGCCATATGCGGATATCTTGCAGACCGCGCCCAGTCCCGTCGATGGCCGTTCCTCATAGGGCTTGCGATCTTGGTGGTTGCCACGGCGCTACTATGTATAGGCACGAACCTGGCTCTGTGGATCGTGGGTCGCTTACTTCAGGGCGCTGCTGGGGCGATGGTTTGGACCGTCGGGCTCGCGCTGCTGGTCGATCGATTTGAGGAGGATGCACTGGGACAAGCGCTGGGGTATGCCGCCATGTCCACGGTAGGGGGAACCACGGCTGGCCCGCTCTTGGGGGGCATTCTCTATGAGCATGGCGGCTATTACGCCCCGTTCGGACTAGCATTTGGCGTTCTTGTGTTGGACGCGGTCCTCCGCATGATGATCGCCGAGAATGCGCCAGAAGAGACAACAATGGAGCCTACTAATGTGGAACATGTGCAGGTGAAAACCGAGAAACAAGAAGCACCCGTCGAAGAAAACGCCACTGCCACGGTATCTGGGGAAGAAGGAGCTGGTGTCTGCACGCGAAAAAACCAAACACCAGACCAGTCTGGCCTGAAACCTCCACCGTTGGGCTCCTGTCAACCCTCGGCACATGCCGCAGCGCTTTGCCTGCTCCGGTCTCCACGGATGCTTCTGGCATTGACGGTCTATTTTCTCGTCTCGGCGGTTCTAGCAGCATTTGATAGTGTGTTGCCACTGCATGTCCATGACACCTTTGGTTGGAAGCAAACGGCCCAAGGCCTCATTTTCATCCCCCTGATGGCACCGCATGTCATCGACCCCGTCATCGGCTCTGTGCTAGACCGGTGGCCCAGAACCCGCTACTACTTGATTGCCGCAGCCCTTTTTGCAATGGTACCGCTGTTGTGCAGCCTGCGGTATGTTACGGAGAACCTTCTCAGTCATAAGATTCTTCTCTGCGCATTGCTGGCGCTCATTGGTGCTTGCATTGGTATCATCGAGACACCAGTTATGGTCGAGGTGACCCGTCTTGCGCTTGACGCACCAGTCGCTAGCCCCGGGGCGTTGGGCGGAAAGGCCTTGATTGCACTGGCCTGCGGACTGAGCAATGGCTTTTTTGCTGCTGGGGCATTGATGGGACCCTTTTTCGGAGGATACATTCGAGATTATGCCGGGTGGACGACTATGTCGTGGGCCCTGGCGGTGCCGATGGGCGTGTGTGGAGTGGTGGTGTTGGTATCTCGTCACTGAAATGACTAGCTGGAGGCAGACAGATCTTGATCCTGCCCAAGAATCCTTTGTGCTTGTTGCTTTTCTAGTCGCAATTATCTTTTTGTTCTAATATCATTCATCACTACATTGTAAGAAGGCGCTACAGATCGAACTACATATGGTAAGAGACATGTGATCTCTACGGCATATATATATGCCGAGTTTCGAGACATCAGCATGCAACGCAGTATGCCACGCAAACTCATGAATCAATTGAGGAAATGCTGTCAAACTAGACAAACTGATCCATATTCATAGAATTCTGTCTTCCTCCCTTTGTTTTTTTTTCTTTTGGCGGCGGGGGAGTGGATGTGTCGGGTATTTCGAGGGATGGAAGCATGAAAGGAAAGAGTGATATCGTATCGGCATTTGTGCACGAGCATGACGAAGAACTAGCATCAATGGAGAACCAAAGAGTAGGACATGCCCTTGAGATTTGTCTAATATCGATCGCTACGAAGTACATCTACCTGTACAACCTGCGATGCGAGGCTACCTGATGGACGAACGCGCGGCAGCCACATAGCGCCCTTTATGACGTGTATATGTATATAGTTCACGGCAAGGGGCAACGGACGCGTCATATAATACAATGGGCACAACAGGATAGACCAGCTGAAAGGACTCGGGTCACGTCCTGTTGGAATGCGGGTCCGTGTCGGGTGTTCAGGTCGTCTTGTATGGTTTTTCTGCGTAGTCATTCATGGATGACAATGATATTATCTCAAGACCACTACACAAAACGTTGACCAACTTTTGGTATAGGGCTTAGCCTGACTGATATACCCAACATATTACTCTGGGACTAACAGACCCATCGTATGCTCCGGCGAGTTCGAGCAGGTATGTATGCCATTAAGTACGTACTCTTTGGGTTCGCGAAGGCATGTGCGTACTACTACGTGTATTCCGTAACTCTATATCTTGATAAACCAGGCAACAGATGTAAGATTTTATCCATAAACCCTTCTTCCTAACGCTCAAATGGCCCCGGAATATATGTTAGGTATATCAGTCAGGTTAAGCCCTATACCAAGTTGGTCAACGTTTTGGTGTAGTGGTCTTGAGAATATATAAACGCCTACACAAAGCTTTCAGCGCCAGGTTTGCTTCATCATTAACAGCTCATGACTGGTAGACCATACTATTCGTCAATAGCAATGTCTCTCGTGTTTTAGCCATGTGTCCTGCTTATGCATCACTCTCTCCGGTTGCTCTCCTGCATGCGAGATGTCCTGCAGCCAAATCCTCTAAGCCCATTGATGCCCCCATCTGGCGCAGTTTCCGCCTATTGGTCTTCCCAGAAACAGTCATCGGAATCTGCCTCACCGGTATGTATACAGCAGGGATGAACGTCTGCGGTACGTAGTCAGCCAGACGCTCAACACCGGCTATGAGGTCTTTCAGAATTCCCCCGGGACTGCAAGGGGACAAAGCCATGTCATCGCCAATTACTAGGAAGGCAGCCAAGATCGGCTTGGTATATCCAGAGGGAATGATCATTTCGGCTACCACACCGACATGCTCCTTTAGGAACCGGCGCACATTGTGCTCGACCTCAGAGAGCTCAACTCGTTCACCGTGGATCTGCACTTGGGTGTCCTTGCGGCCAATGACGGTCAAGTTCCCATTGTCGTCACAACGGACCAAGTCGCCCGTCTTGAACAGTCGTCCTTGTCGTCCGGGAACGCCAGGGCAACCACAGTGTAACCAGGTAGGGCTAACAAACGGTGCTGCATTCGGGACATTCCCGACGTACCGGTCGAGGAGGATCGGTCCCTCCACCAACAACTCCCCAATTGCTCCATCAGGCAGGAGCTTGTCGTGGTTGTGGGGGTCAACTACCCACCGCAGACAGACAGAAGTTGATCCGGCGAACCCCGTCTGGAAGGCTTCCGGGTCGACAACGCATGCAGCAACGTGGGGACATTCAGCAGGCCCGTAGAAGTTGAACATCGTCACTCGCCCGGCCCACTTAGACACAACATGCTTGGGTAATATCTCACCCTCCGAGGCAAGAGTCTTCAGGGAGGGAACAGCGTCCGGATCAAGGCCTTCGGCCAAGGTTGGAGTCAGGTAGACGGAATTGGCTCGCAGCGCCTCGAGAGTGGCGGGAGAGCAGTTTACGCCGTCTTTCTCCGGTGGGATACAGAGACAACCTCCCGCTAAGAGCACAGCAATCGTTTCCATCATGCTCACGTCAAACTCATAGGAAGCGGTCTGAAACTGTCTCGTGTGCGGACCCATCGACTGTATGTTGGCGATCTCCTGGCAGTTGGTCGCCAGTACTTCATGCGTCCAGACAATGCCCTTTGGCTGGCCCGTGCTTCCAGATGTGAATAGTTGAACACAATCTTGGCTCAAAGAGCACTTGGGGATGAGAGATAATTCTTCAGTATCCTGCGACAGGAGATCATGCACCGTGTATGTTCGCACAAGATCGGCCAGCCAACTCGGAGCGTCTGCGCCGGTGAGGGCAAATGGAGGCTTGTCCACACTCAAGATGGCTTCTGTTCGACCCTTGGGAATAGAGCTGGCCAACTGAAGAAAAACACCCCCTGCCTTCATAACCCCCAGAATCGCGACTGGCATCCATTTCGATTTTTCAAAATGCAGGGGTACGGTCACGTCCCTCCCCACCCCTTCTCGGATCAAGCCCAGTGCCAACCGAGTTGAAAAATGATCCAACTCTTTGTACGTCCAGGACCCGTCCCATGCACATACCGCGCATGCCTCTGGACGCTCCCTGGCATGTCGACGAATGGTTTCATGAGCGGGAGTCTCGACCGCTTGGGGAACCGTTCCGTTTCTCCGCCAGACGTCTGCGAGGTCACGCTCACTGATAATACCGATATCCGACAAGGCCGTGTTCTCGAGTCGACCGTAGGCCAAATCCTCAAGCAGCTTCTGGGTTGAGCGAGCTATTCGCTGAGCCTCTTCCAAGCGGAGGACATCCCCAGAAGTATACACCTTGAAGTGCAATCCCGACTCTCGTTGACCGCACTCCAAAATATATACGCAGTCTCTTTTGCCGTCATTCGGTTCTATCTCAAATTAGCCGCGAGCTCACAGATCAAATGTAAATCCCTTACCTGGTCCATAGACTATGGAAAACCCTTGGGGTTGGGCATGCTCTGCGGCGTTGTGTTTGCACAAGATACCCTGATTCTCGAGTACTATTTGCCCCTCCAGTTGCCGTAGAAGGCCTCCCACATTCATATCAGGTCCAGTGAGCACACGCACTGGAAGAGACACATGCGTATTATCTCCAGCTACCCGAAGATGAAAGTGAATCTCATCCTTGTAGAACCATCGTGATCCAACAATGGACCATGCTGCCGCAACCAACCGCTCCGGTATCACCGGATACTTCTCCCAGTCGAGGATCACGTCAAAAGAAGTGACTTTGCATGGTGTGTGCGTATTGAACTTGTTCGGAAAAAACTCCCGGCAACTGGACATTTGAGGGTGAGACATCGGTGATTCTTTTCCTAACAGGAACCGTTGGATTCGATCGTTGAAAGGGTAATATTGAGCCGATTTAATCAGCGGCTTCCCGCTATGCAAATCGCCTCTTATACTCAATCTTTTGACGGTGTCATTCCGGGCAGGATAGGTGGTGAGCTGGCTGCATGATGATTGACTGATAAGTTGCCTTCCTCTTCCAGGCTCGAGCGGAATCTATATATGCAAGGGGGATGTGTATACAGATGTGTTCAGCGCGTCATACTGGAGGACAGTCACACCGCTGGTTACGCCCACGCTACACCTCACATGGCCAGTGCAATGAAAAGGCAAGTATCGAGTTTTCCATGTACTGCATATCCCCGGTGCTCAATGTGGGTCCGCAAAGATTTTCTTGCAGGTAGGCGGCATGAGACAAATCAGAGCTATTAAGTAGACCACGCCATTGCGAAAATGAATTTCGGTCTTTGACTTTTGTCTGTTGATGGCCATCGCATTAAACTCTATCATATCTACTCTTCGGCACAGGATGTTGGGATCTGATTCAAGCGCATTCCCTACAAACTCTTGCAGAACATATGTGGTGTAATTCACTGGCTAGGTCCCCCCCCCCAGGCTTTTGTTATAATTTTTTCTTTCTCTTTTTCTAAGTGCTGTAGCAACGAGCAAGAAGACTTCGCACAGGTATGTTCTGATCTTTGGTCTTGTCTTCCACGATCGGCTCGAACAGGACATCCAGGCCCTCTCTAAACAGAAGACAGTGCGTCGATCCTCCGTAGTGAAAGCATCCAATCTCATCACCGGCCCGTACATGATCGCCCTCCTTAACGAACGCTTCGCACGACGATACCTCGCCCATACCAACTGCCACAAGGCCGACCAGACCGACACGCATATCGTAGGCATCGATCAAGATCGCTGCACGCGCCGCGACGGTTGCCAGGTAGCTCTGGGACTTCTCCATAGCCAGGATATCAGACATGGGTAGCTGGGAAAAATAGCTACCGTCTAGATAGAGGACCTTCCGAACGATGCCCGAGACGGGAGCATGCCACCGGTGATAGCTCAGCGCGGATAGGTAGGCTTGGTAGACGGTGCCGTTTTCAAAGTGCGCTGCTAGTGGATCGTTGCCGAGCATGGAGCGGATGGAGTATGACGTGCCCTTGAGGACGATGGCGGTGCCGCTTGAGCAACATCGGGTGATGTGCCATGGCTTCGACTCGCAGGCGTTCAAAATTACTGAGCCCCCGTTGGCGAGGAGAGCATCGTGGCTTGGGGTGGGTCGGAGACCGGGCTTGAATTTGCGGCTGAAGAATGCGTCCCAGGATGGGAATCCCAGCGTTTCTGGATCGTTGGGGTCTGGACAGTCATAGATGTCAATAAAGTTTCGGATCCCTCCAGTGGGTTTGTTGGCGACGTCTTCTAGCCTCGCTACGGCACGGGGTGACAGCCAGCCGGTCTGCGAATTGAGAACGTAGAGTGAGTTGGGGGATTCTAGAAACTGGGCCCATGTCTGCAGGATATGTTTGAGGTGTTGATTGACAGCGACGTGCCTGAACAGTTGTAGGCCGCTGTGGGTTTCCATGAGGACCATGAGGATGAGGTTGAAAGGAAGGCCACCGAGATTGTCGGGCCTGTCGTGGTCCTCCCACACGGGAGACTGTGTCAGAATATAATCGAACATCTGCATGAGAACGTCAATGCTGTTGATGGCGAGGTAGACCTGATGGGCTCTCTTCGCCTCGACCAGCTCTTTTGCCTCTGCGAACATGGAATGGCAAAGCGCTTCCAGTGTCTCGTCGCCTTCAAGCAACTTCTTCAATGCCGTCACGGTGGGATCCAAAACACGAGGCAGGCGACTTTTGAGACCGGCGACCATCTCTTGGAAGCGGCGAGTGGTGGTACTGTCCGTGGGGAGGTTATCACAAAGAGAACCCATAGTGAATGGCTAGGCAATGGTGCGTAAAGCTAGGACGCACAGTGCTCCTGGGTATCTTGTTTTTTTCGAGTAGATTGTAATGTCTTTTCTCCAACTTCCATGCTAGTTGGGGAAGTCCCCAGAAATAGGGACCTACAGAAATCACCTCAATTAGGGACAGATTGACTTCCATTGAGTCTCATTTCGGTTCCATATGGGCCGGCATACAGCGCTCAGTTGCGTGGCTTAAAGGACGTAAGCTCCTTGCATACTCTACTTGACGCGTATCATATGCAACATGGGATGTCCGTGCCTCCGAGGTGCATCCTTGATGCAAGGAGCAATATGAGTCGGCCAGCCCCGTTCAAGACCCACTATAACACTTTTCACCGAGTTCGAAACCAGCTCGTAGTTCTAGGGTATTAAAGCAAAAACAAGCGTCGACACAGTCGGTCTTAATACCTACTAGCCAAACATCTCTATCCCCTCGTTCGTCATGCTCCGATATATTGCCGGCCTTGCCTTACTGCCCTGTGTGGCTGCACCGTTCTACCTGTCCGCAGACCCGAGTCGGGAAGAACGGGCGGCCTTCTATCATCTCTTGAAAAGCTATGTCCTTGGTTTCGCAGTCGCCATGTTCTGCATGTATGTCGTACCACTGCGCCACTGTCCGTCCAACCCTCTTCTGAGCCACATGGTTCAACGCCGCAAGGAGATGAACATTCGGTATAAAATCGGCGGGACCAATGCGGACCTGGCCTACGGACTTGAGAACCTCTGGTTCAACGCGGACTTGGAGCCCCAGTCCTTGTGGGTTAATCTGGGGTTCTGGAAGGTGAGATTCCCCATCAATGGTTGTGGGGTGACTTCAGCGCTGATTGACCCTAGAACGCAACCCATCCCTCCGAGGCTTGCGCAGACCTGTTCAGAGAGCTTCTAGCCACGGCTGGGATCTCCGCTCAACAGCAGTTTTCGATGGTGGAGGTCGGGTGCGGGTGTGCTGAGACCGCCCGCTTGTTGTTGAAGGAGTATCAGGACAAATGCACCCACTGGGTTGGCCTCACGCTCAGCTCTATCCAGGCGAAGATGGCAGAATCCCGCTTGAGAGAAGATGAAAAATTGTTCCACGGGAAGAACAAGACCCAATGCCAGATTTTCCAGGCCGATGCCGCGCAGCCGAATACCTGGGACGCCGAAATCAGTGGCGCAGTCCGCTCATTGCCCAACCCGTGGCTTGTATCTCTAGATGCCCTGATTGATTTCCGTCCCTCGAGAAAGCCTATTCTCTCATTTGCTCGACAGGAGCTGGGAGCCTCGGTTGCGTTCACGGAACACCTCAAAAAGGAGAATATGTCGACGCTTGATACCCTTAAAACATGGGCTTCCTTCCGTCTGCTCGACACGTCCTGGGACCGCGTGTTAACCAGGCAGAATTGCATTGAGACACTTGTGGAGTGTGGTTACAAGCGGGAGAATATCTCCATCGTCCCGTATTCAGAGCATGCGTACGCCCAGTATAGCCGCTTTATCAGCCAGCAGGGACGCAGGTGGCAGGAGATGGGGGGCAGCAAGTGGGATTATATGGACTTTTCGATAGCAGGATTTGTTACCAACTGGTGGGCACGTACTGGGCTGGTCGAGGCATGTATCATTGTCGCGCGGGCTTGATCATGAGCAAACCATGGAGAAGTTTGGCTGGTTCTCCTAAAGAAAAGTCTGGTGAATAGCAGAGTGCGTCGGAGGGTTGAGAAGACAGGCCCAGAAAATGCTGCCATGATGTGCTGCCGGATATCATAACACTGGAGTTGGACCGGAATATAGTCACTCTCCTTTTGTTGATGATGGGCACGGGGCGAGGACCTTTCTTTGCCAAGTATGGATAGTGGGGGCAAGGAGCAAGAAAACCGATCAAGATTTTGATGAATTAAATGCTTTCGATTTTATGGAAGAAAGTCTGTAGATTTCACGAGGAATAAAAGGAAATTTACAGTAGGATGAATATAAATCTATCAGTAGTCTGTTGCTATATTTGAAGCATGACAGTCACTGCTTTGACAGATGGTACTCTGACCATCGTAATTCTATTTTCTTCTGACCGTTTATCTTGAGGTAGCCAACTTTCAATATTATGGCTACGTCTTCTGTGTCAAATAAATTCCAAATATATGCACTGAAATTCGAATACACCACGTATTCCAGAGGGTAGAACTGGACACCCTACTACTTTACCAGGGGCCGGGACTGACTGTGTGAGAATACTCCGAGGTAGCATGACAGGAAGAAATATTGCTATGAACTAAGTAATGGGCTGGGTCAAGTATAACCCAGTCAGATGAAACTGTCTGCGGGTCGCCAGTGGAATGACATCCCAGAATATACGTATGGTAGCTTGTAAAACCAGATCATCGAATGCATTGAGTATGCCAGCAAATTACTATAATAAACTACCCAAAAAAGAAAAGCATTCTATGCGAAGAATAGCAAGCGATCAAGAACACCCAAAGATGGGAACCAATGGAACCACTGGAATAGAATGTCGTAACTCAAGCCTCCTTGACCTGCAACACCTCATCAGTCTCCTCAGAAAGCAACACTTTGCGCGCTTCGGTGCTCTTCTTCCTAGGGTTGGGCGCTGCAAAGATATCAGTGAGCTCCTCGAGAGTGCGCTGGCACGTCTCAACCGCGAAGAAGTAGATGAACGAGGCTTGAACCATATTCCACGCCGCCAGGATAATGTACGTGTGCCAATCTATAACCTCCATGGCGTTGCCGATACCAAACTGGTTGACCAGCAGAGCGATGTTGGTGAAGACGGAGTAGACGGCCATGCCCTTGGCGCGGGTCTCATACGCCAGACACTCGACGGAGTACATGGCTTGCAGTGGTGTCCAGCCAAAACTGTAGAAGAAGCCGATGAGGAAAATGATCACGATTGATGCGGTGGCGGCCGACTTTTGTTCGTTGCCTGAGTATACGCCTGTTGTGGCTGACAATCCGGCGAAGGAGAGCTGGGAGGGAATTAGCGAGGATGGAAGATGGAAGATGCAGCCACAGAAGCTTGACTTACGCCGCAAAGAACAGAAGCACCGAGCAGCATCGGTCGTCGTCGCAGTTTCTGTGCGAAGAATCCACCGATATAGGCCCCTCCAGCGGAGAGGACAGTGAAGCCGAGATTGACGTCCAGGACTGTGGTCGTATCGGTGATACCAGCGCTCTTGAGAAGTCCACCCATATAGTACGTCGTGACGCCTCCCTGCGCCCACTGGCTCATGAACGAGGCAATTCCGACGCAAATCAGACGCCATCTAGCGGCCTTGGTGTCGACGAGCTCCCGGAAGTCCCATGAGCGCTTGTCCGAGCCTTCGAGGTTGATCGCATTCTCGTATTCGCGGATCTGCAATTCCACGTAGGCGTTGTCACGCGAGCCCTCGCCGTGGTACTTGGTGATGACGTCCCATGCCTGTTCACGGTGTCCGTGGCTGTAAAGCCACCGGGGCGATTCGGGGAGGAACCACACAAACAGTACCACAAAGCTCGACGAGATGAGCTGACACCAGATGGGGATGCGCCATGCCCTGGAGTCTGGGTAGATGAGGCATCCCCGACAGGCTCCCGCGGCAGCGATAGCACCGACAAAGTACTGGCAGTTGTAGAGACCGGTTAGGACGTCACGGTATGCAGGGTGACTCATTTCGACCACGTAGGCGGGGGCAGCAGATGCTGCCATGGAATATCCCCAGCCTGCAATGGGTCAAGAAGACAAGGTGTTAGTGATACCATCAGAAAGGGGAGACCTAGTCATCTCACCAAGGAAGAATCGGCTCGCCAGGAGTTGGCCCATGTTGTTGGCTGTGCCTCCCAGGATGGTCCCGACGATGACAATGACGGATCCAGCAAACATGCCTAGCCGACGACCCCAGTTGTCCAGCAAAAAGCCGACGAAAGGCAGTGCACTGACGCCGCCGATTGTGTACATCCCCTGGATAAGGGACGCCTGGGAACCGACGAGGCCGGCACCGAAGGTTTCCTGAAACTGTGGGATGGGAAGCAGGGCACCCATCAGGGAGCCATCAAACCCTGAGTCTCATCAGCTCACTATACTTGACCGACCACCAGGTGTTTTGACCCTACCGTTCAAGGCTGAGCACAGATAGCCCACCAACAGGCATGCGTACAGCTGAAGCATCGCCCGACTCCAGGGCAATGGAGGATGGCTTCGACGGGCCATTTCCAGGCCCATCGAGCCCTGGAGGACTTCGACTCGGATGCCATCGATGTTTTCCTCGTGGACGGACTCCGTAGACGCTCCCTTCTCAATAGAACTGCGCGGTTGGGCGTGTTCTCCCATGGTGTCGAAAGAGGGTTGGATCTGTGTGTTTCAGATCACAAATCTCAAAGCTGCACATAAAACCAGGAAACGTGAAACAGGATGGGTGAGTCGACGCATTTATTCTTTTCTCTTGTCCCAGGCCTGCTCCTCTCCCTTCTCCGCGCAGGCTGGCACCTGGTTCGTTTGTCGCGGAGCGTTGCAGATCTCCTTGGCCCAAGTAGACCACCTTGTCGAAAGAGGAGTGGGGAGGGATCCTCGAAATAGTAACTAGACTATTACTATCAGATACGTGGTATAACTGGTAGTATACACACTAACCGAAGTATAATAGTATATTAAATGGCTTGGTCTTGTCACGAAAAGTATTATAAAAATTAAATTAGAGTGGCGTTCGGTGCGGATTAGAGTAGACTCTTGCCAGCGCCAACCCTAGCGGGGGTACCAATCCTGCCAAAGCACGCTATGAAACAGGCACATGTAGAACGGTCTAGAGACTGGGGGTGCTGAGCAGGAAGCTTAGCAGGGTTGACCTTTGGACTAGCGGCAGAAGCAATCTGGAGTGCGTACACGAGATATCTATGGATTCCCATAGTTAATTCCGGAGTACATTGCAGTGGAAAGGCATCGTACCAGCTCCATGACTTGGGCATCTCTCCGCCCGAGTGAAACCATGAGTATATTCCAGGACCCCTGACAGGACAAAGATGGGCTTGAAGCTTGAGAACGCCATGATCCCATGGGCTGGTCCGTAGCCCCACTCGCATCCCAGTCCGTCGTCTTCCCCGCGTCCTCCGTGTCCAAAGGGGGATTTCTCCGCATCCTCCGTCTCTCCCCTATTCGCTCTCCACAGTCACTCGGTGAGCGAGAATATTGACGGGGAAACTTCTCCGCAGCCGGGGAAGAAACCATACACCCCAGGATCCATCCGAACACGATGAGACGAGATGAGATGAGGTGGAAAAACTGGTCACCACTGCCTCCCTTCCTAAATCACCAGAGAATCGAATAAACAGACTTGATCGGTTGAAGAAGCAGCGCGGACCACCCGCCTAGCTCCTCGGAGGTTGAACCGGTCCATGAATGGCACGGTCTCGGTATCAACCTTTGTTGTCACGAAATAGTACGATCTCGCTCGACCACTGGGATCCCCGCACTGGAATCCTGTCACTTGATCGTGCATCTTTCCGGGGGTGGGTAGTGGGACACCCGATGAAGTATCTTATCGCCATCGCATGATCATCTTCGCTCGGAGCGCGAACATGGATAAGATCCGGCTTGACGTGACAGCACGAGACATTTCCGGTGGAACCGTCTGCCAAGGCCCGGCTGAAACCACACCCGTAACAGGAAACTGAAGGCCCCACGCTTAAGTAGCGCATGTCCTGATATCAAGTTTCGGTCGGGATGGAACCGATCCCTCTAATACCGGCCCAATCTCGGCTTGCAACAGGGCCAGGGTTTGCACTTGACCGCGGCTTACACAGCTACAGTGAAGACTAACTCACTAGCTTTGAGGGAGTCAGGATTGACGGAAATAAAGTCATGCTAACTTGTTTCACTGTTAAACGATCCCCCGTCAGAAAAGCGAACCCTGTATATCCGCGGAAATCAAACAAATGACACAGACAATAGTGGGTCAAGTCTGGGTAAACGGGCCGTCCTCCCCAGAGGATATATATGTGTATCCCCTGGCTACAACTGGACTAGCACTTCTTTCCTGTGTCGGGGAGAGGATGTTGGGCAGGATCCAGCACAAATTGCCGCAGAATAATTCCCTGTCTGTGTCGTTGGAAGAAGAAGGTTTGTCGTGCTTACCAAGAGATCAGGCAAGTGTGCCGCTGTGATGTGTTCGTCTTTGTTTTTGTGCCAGACACGCTATATCGCTCGGAAACCGATTCTAACAAGTACCCTCGAAGTCACACTGTTTTTTGATGGTGTGCTTTTGCTTGAGATATGCGGTGATGCCAAAGGTTGTCGGGCCAATTGCATTGGTAGCAATGTTCGATTGTTCAAGCTTTGCTTGATTGTCGATATCTTTTCAACTCATGGGACTTGGAAGCATTGAAGCTGATTGATAGTTGCCCGACCATAGTATTAGAGAAGGAAAGTTCCACTGGAGAAACTAGCAGATTAATTTGAATATATTTTCCCCTAATCATCTATCTTTTTTGCAGAGACCATACCATTTTGCCAATTGACACGGCTCTACATTTAGGTAATGATTGTCTCGGCCCATCGAAGTTCAAGAATACCCAAGCGCTGTTCAAGAAACCCCGTACTTGGCAGTAGAGCAAGAGTAACATCGCTCAAGAAGAAATCACAGGATCTATATTCTCAG